AAACTCAGCACATGTTGAGTGTACTCAAACAGCGGCACCCTCACCAGATTATAATAATCATATTTACACCGAGTAAACACCAAATTTCACCAAAAACCTTATTTTCCTAACAGGCCGACTAATATTACATTGACCGTTACAGTTTAGTCCACAATGATATAATATCAGGCTAACAACAAAAATAGTAATAAGAGTAATAATAACAATTTACAATAATTAAATGCAAATCTTGTACTAAAATTCTCTTTCAATGATTTAAGCAACATCAATAAAAGGCTAAATTTGACAGGACATTAAAAGATGTCTTACCGGCAAAGGAAGTGATCCACCGCCTGACTCGGGCCAGCAGGTGCTCCATCGCAGGGGGTCCGGACGCCATCTTTCAGCAGGTAGGTACAGCTGGAGTTATCTCTCAGTGTTTTCTTGAGGGTTTTGTAAGGCTCGCAGGTCAACTTGTATCAAGTCTCGGTGCAAAGGGGAGATTTCGGAGATGCGTGCAGCTTTTATATGACCTCGGTAGAACGCCACCGTTCTGTTTCCATGACTTTTACTGACGCACGTGCATGCGTGTGCGTGAGTGAATGAGAAATTATATAGGCTACTGTAGGTGTTTCCATAATTAGGTGATGTGTATGAGCTTCAGAAACACCTGATGTATCACTGTAATGATGAACACACACAGCCAGGTCACTGCAGGTCACACCATCTTGACCCAGAGGTCAAACTAAGAATGAACCATGTCAACATCATTTGATTTTATTGTTGTTTTATTTTTAAATACAGAATAATGAACAGCAATATCCACAGACACTAAATGTGACTCAGTATATGCTTTCATCATGACAAGACTGAATCATTAATTCAGCCTCAATTTATACATCATGGCATTTCATTGCTGCTTCCTATCTAAGGAGCATTTTAGTGTTTTCACTGAGTGAATGTGTCTTCTCTTAACCTGTGATGCTTTTATTTTTCCACTTGGATGATACAGAGGAGCCCGGAAAGCGCCAGGTTCCCTGTGTGTCTTAGTTTGGGAGTATGAGAATGTGGCTCCTAAAGCAAATTACCAACAGACATGACAGGACTTTCAGCTGGGTACTGCTTTTTCAACCTAACCTGTCTCAAAGACAGGCCCTTTATCAAAGTTCATTTTAAGACCTTCATTACTGGAATTTTGTGCTTACATGATGCATAATCCTAAATTGATTTGTTTGATTAATTTTGTTTGATAAAACGACACCACAGAAAATCTGGGAGCCTCAGCCAGCATAGGAGCACTGTACACACTGCACAGAGGATGTGAGGTGACAAGGTTTATCATGGGCCCAGTAGCTCATATTTGCTCCACAGTGTCCCTGCAGGTTCATCTAACCATGCCTCCACCTGACTGTAGTCTTTATTTTGAGGCTTTCTGGGAGAGTGGAGGTATGAAACATGGCTGAGTGGCTTCGTCTGCAGTAGAAGAAGCAGGTACCACAATGTCAACATGGGAAAAGTATTTTGTTCCAACAAGGCCTTTGCCATTTACCAACTGCTCCACTGCAGCTGAAGGTAAAGTCTTTTGCAATATTTTGGATTGAATCCCATCATCATGCACAAAAAGAGGCAGTTATTGCTGATTATTTGTGTTGTGTTGTGTTTGTTAAGCCTCTGGTGAGGAGGGTCAGGGGTCATGGTCCATGCATGTCGCTGTGATGACACCAGGGGGTCTTTGGAATTAAAAGCATCAGTTGCACTGAAGAAGTTGCCTCATTCTGTGGATATCCAAGATCACACACAACTCTGATTTCAGCTGCTTTCTTTTAACAGCATGTGATGAATTCCACAGTGTGCTGCTCTCGCCTTCTACAGGACACCTGGGTCACATGCACTGAAAACAAGATGAGCAGAAAATGCATCAGATAGTCCTGTGGACATCATTTTAGCTTACCTTTAACAATTCATGTAGAAAAACAATTCTGAGATTACAAATGTTGAATGTGGAATGTTATCTGGAAAACTTCCACATGATGGCAGTATTGTAACTCCATTTAGTTTTTAACCACTGATAAACTTTTGCCAACAGATGGCACCACAGTCTCACTTTCAGTGCTACAAGTATGATGGGCTTTGTTCCTCTCCCACATGGCCTATAATCCATCTCTCCAGTTAAGCAAGACAACACTGTGCAAGAGAAACTGTGAGATTTACTCTGCCGAATGTGTTAAAAAGACCATATTGTTGTAGACTGTCAGCTGTGACCTCATTACACACATTTAATCTGTTGCTCATTATCAGTCAGTGGGATAAGTCCAGGAGCAGGAAGGGTGGGAAAGTCTTCCTCTGGCTTCCTGTTACTGTCATTTGTCTGTGTGGACGTCTGTGTGTGATTATGGTTACAATCCAACTGGGACCTGGAAGATCTCTATCCAACAGAAGAGCATTAGGAAGTGAAGTATTTCATGCAAATTGAACACTGATATGGAACAGCGCTGTCTTCTCTCCTCAATGCACAAGTTATGTATACTTGACTGAATTAAAAACTTTCAGTTTAGTAAAACAAAACATCTGCAATCCTGAAATAATTTGTATATATTATGGGTTACACAAATCTCAAGCTAACTGATGCAGTGATATCATATACTTATGAAAATTCCTAATACTATAAGGTCACTATTGACTGCTGCTGAATTTCATTGCTTACTAGTCACATATACATCGCAGGTATACAGTCAGTAATAGTTATGTAGTAACACAGTTAAAGTGAGCCAATAGGATAATGGTAAATGCTAAAACACATTCATAAACTGGTCATACCAGACCAAGTAAGTCTGTTGCAGCAAAACCATTGAGTGTACTGAACTGATCAAAGTGCATTTTATTACTAATGATTTTAACTGCTCCTTTATAAAGGAAAGAATGTGTTGTGTCTTCATTCATAGTGACATATTCTCACTTTAAAATAGTTGGATACATCGTCTTGGGTATTGTGATTCATGTTTTACAATTTCTCGTAGAAAAAGTCAGTTGGAAGCTCATACTTGTAAAGACAGAACTGCTGAAATCAACATTGTTTGATATCAAAATTAGGCAATATTACTGTATGCACTTGGTGTTCCTTCAGTGTTGGGTTATTTCACACAGCCACTGACCACTAGTCCCAAACCTTAAAAGAGCTATCTAACATATTAAGAGAGTATTTGCTGGTGCGTTCCATTTTTACTGTGGCAACAACAGCAACAGTGCTAACAGAGCTAAAAGTGTGAACCTCGAGGGACGCTTACCTTCAGCAATGCTGCCATCTTGATATTAGCGATAAGCGCCATATGAGTAAGGTGCAGAGCAGAGGTGATGAGTAACCAGTGGGATACACAGATGAGACTCACATGCACTAACATGCACATGTGGCCAGACCGTCTACCACAACAACGAACAGAGAAGCTCAATTACAACACATTGATGCTCTGATCATCATATAGCTCCTTTAAAGGGACACTGCTGATTTCACATGACGTTCAGTTAATTAGTCACGAGGAGTTCTCCAGTGTTTTGTCATCAGGGTTATGTCGGCTTAGTTAGACTTGAGATTTTTTAACAGAAAGACTGTTACAAACTGGAGATGTAGGACTTTAAAGAAATGGGTATTCAGAAGACAGGAGGTTCAATGGTGTTCCTTATGTCTTTAGTTTCTGATAATGACTTTAGTTGTTCTTTTATCTCAGACATGTTAGGATGTTACATACCTTGACACGTTTCCACCTTCCTCAGAAGTGTCACTTGGTGGTGGTTGTGACGCGTCTTTATCAGCTGATCTGACGTAACATCCTAACATGTCTGAGATAAAAGAACAACTAAAGTCATTAGAAGACAGTAGGTCTTACAAAAGTAATACTTGAGCTGCATTGTGGGAAATGTAGGATCCAGCACTTCTGGAGCTTGACCCATTCTAAAGAGTAAAAGTCAGGATCACAACCTCTGCTAAAATAATAATCATAATAAAATGTCTCTCATACTAATCAATACTAAATTTCTGATATATATCCTTTTTAATAAACACAACATCTTTGACACAAGCAAATGCTGTAGCCCAGTAAATAAACACTAAATCCATCTGTTTACTGTGACAAATACTGAGACAGCACAAAATCACAGGAGAAAGTAATCACAGCTGCATTTAAGAATACCCAGTACATTCCTCATGTATGACATTATCTCAGAGTCTGACATTCCCTGAGTCAGATACACCAAAAATGCAGTGATGGAAGAGGTACTTGGATATGTTGCTCAAGTATAAGTGTTCATATCATGGTGTAACAATACTTACAAGTACGTATAAATCCTGAAATAAAAATTCTGCTTACGTAAAAGTGCAGAAATATTATGAGCAAAATGAATTTAAAGTAGACAAACACAAACTGTATAATTACATTATTGTTATTGATAAATTTATGTGCAAGCAGTGTTTTGATGTTGCTTTTCATGCCATACATTGCACTTTCTTTCTTAATCAGATGCTGTGTGAGTGAAATAGTAGGCCTACCTAAAGCTGTGGGGGCTTAAAATAAATTTAGGGGAGTTCAGTATTTACCGCTAAAATATATTAAGTTACAAAATGGAAAAGATTCAAGTAAAGTAGCTCAAATTTGTACCTAAGCACAGTACTTTACTTGGTTACTTTCCACCACTACAAAAAATGTGTGTTGCTTCTTTGTGTACAATCAGAGCCAATAAACTACAACTGAGCATAGGTGAAAGTGACATCATCACTCCAGCTTGTCTCTGATTGGAGGAAATTTAAACTATAGCTGACTTTAAAGTCTAAACTCTAAAGTGTAATGCAGTAGCCCAAATCGAAACACCAGATATGAAGTATGACATAATATATTGATGGGAATGTTTGTGTGTCCTTGATGACAGGCTTCACTCCTGCAGCCTAGTGTGTGTGTGTGTATGTGAGGGGGCTGGACCAGAGGACACGGCTGCAGAGAGGAGGCACAACTCTGGCGACACCTGCAAACAAACTCCCAACCGACTCTCTCCCGGAGCGAAGAGGCGGATGAAGCAGAGAGCAACACAAATGCGGAATAAGGGAATAAAACGTGTTTATTAAGCGGAGAAAAGAGCAAGAGAGAAACTTTATTCTAAGATAACAAGTCGTGCGTTTTGAGTCGAGATCGGACCGAAAGCGGAGAGAGACGACAGCAGGTAATGGCAAGCTCATTCATCTGAAACTGAAAACTTCTGCTTCAAATCGTGTTTGATGAAACAAAGACTGTGCAGTGAGATTACCGGGATGGTTGTACTTTTGGGGAATGTGTCGTTTTATCCATTTACAGACGATCAAATGCAACGGTGAAACCAAAAAGCGTGGTGACTTCCATGCCTGCACTCACTGTTTTTTATGTGTCCCTGTTGTGGTCTTGCTGTGATGCGTTTACTGGCTGTATATAACTGCAGGAGTTTCACTTCCCGGTGAAAGCAGTACTGTATATGTTATTTATTGTTCCAGAATGATATGTTTGAGTGCTGATAATATGTATAGTAATTATCTAAAGTATGTTTTCACGTCTTTGTGTGAGAGTTCGTCGACCAGTCCATTCAGTGGCTAAGCAATGAGGTTCTTCACCTTAGTTTCTTATTATAGGGCTATAAAGAGGTGGCTGAAGTTTATTGTTGACAATATGACTTAGTCACAAACCTTTTTTCCAAGGTAGCTTCATATGTGACAACTGATAAAGAAAGTTTTGACACCTTTTTTTAACACATGGTTACAATGACTACGTTGAGTAGGTATGATGCTTATTGTGGCATCTGTGGTGGTTTCATCATTGCATCGAGCATCTTTTTCTAAGAAGTAATGTCTGACACTAGAACCAAATTTATCCACATGCACCAAATGATAACACACAGCACATTAAAGTGCAGTTACCAAAGGGCTGAGAGCAGAAAAGCTCACCTTTTCATACAGCCTATAACTGATTGCAGCTTGTCATGTGAGAGGAATTATTCAATCATGCATCCCCTGCAAAAATGTTAAGGACAACAGGATCAACTTGATCACGTCTGAAAATATTTGCACTTAATATAAAGATGTCAAAATGAGTTTCCTCGATGCTTTGTGACAGTGTGCGCTCTCTTGTTATGTGTAATCTCTTTTCTCACGCTCTGCTCTGGAGTGCATGGCCACCAGCCAGGTCAGGTTTCTTATTCACACTGAACATGTCAGAGGCTGAAGTCAGGCTGAGGACAATGACTGACACAAATTCTGTGCAGGTTTGAAATACTGGGCGTCTTGATTTAAGATTCACTCCCACAAGTGCTGTGTCTCACTTTTGCTCAAGAGCTTTTATTGAACTTAAGAAGAAGCTCAAATCAAGATGGATGTTAATCCTTTTCTACATGTGGGTTCATATGTCTTTAAACCTTGCATAAACACAAGCATACCAGAATATTCACGTTTTGTTGACGTTATGGGGCGCAACCTTCCAACCTAGGACAATGTTATTCTACAATATGACACGTAAACCTTCTCTAGTTCCACATTACAATAGTGTAGCTCTGTTGATATGAGTAGGATTAAGAACAAGTGATAGACGCCCAGGCCTGTGGCATTACACTTCTATTGATAAGATGTCATTTGGACACAGTATTATAGTGATATTATTGTTAGATAATCCCTAAGGACAGCAGTCAGTGTATTACAGTATAATGTGACTTGACCTGTTGTTAAGACACTGCATACTGTTCTGTGTCAGTTTACAGTTTCGTTTTCATAAAATAACATTAAGTTTAACCCACATACAGAGGATAAAGCAACATGCCGCTAGAGTTAATTGGGCTACTCTACTTACTATATGTAGAAAGTGTCAACATGAAAACTTGTTAAATGTATTATTTTATTGTATTTGTTGAATAACAATATTGAGATTAGAGCTGAAATGATCAGTTGATTGACTTAAAATTAATCAGAAACCGTTCTGATAATTGATTATCCATTTAAGCAACTTTTCTCACAGAAATAGCCTATCAAACAGCTCCTCCAGTGTGAGAATTTTTGCTTTTTTTCTTTAGAAGATAAAGGTAAATATAAAGTATTATGATATAGACACATTGTTAGTCTGCCAGAACAACCCATTTAAGGCTGTAGTTGGTAACTTTTATAAGAAATATTTTAAAAAAAACGCACAAAAGCAACCAATTGACCACCGTGTCATTCAATAACTGCTGCGCTCAAACTGTCAAACTAGGCGGCGCTGATCAGATATTAATGAAGGTTCGGTTTCTGCATTGCATACTTCCCACCTCAAATGCTTTCAGAAACATATTTTAGTGTACTGTTTAGCTGTAAGATGAAAAAGTTTGTGACCCAGCCGCCATGTTGGAAACAGTCGAGCCAAAATGAAGCACTGTGACCAGGCTGGTTCACAAACTTTCTCTCTTTTTTTTGCCTTTATTATGACGGGACAGATTCAAAGTGAAAGGGGAGTGTTAGGAAGGAAGACATGCAGCAAAGGGCCATAGGTTGGAGTTCAACCTGCGGCTGTTGCGGCAAGGGCAAAGCCTTTGTACATGGGGTGTCCGCTGTACTAGGCAAGCAAGTGCGCACCCTAAACTTTCTCATTTTACGGCTAAACAGTACACTAAAATATGTTTCTGGAAATGATAGGCAATGTATTAACAGAATCTTTATTTATATTTGACAGTGCTGCCTAGTTCAACAGTTTTAACGCAGTTCACCAGCAGTGATTGACATGACTCCTTGGCTCTGAATGGTTGTTTTCCTTCAGTTGCAATAGGAGGAACATAATTTTTTTCATAGACTATCTGTCTCACACACTACTGTCAGGATATAGTGATTATTTCAGAAAATATGCCAAAGTTTTTTTCAATGAAAGTTACCAACTGTAGCTTTAAAGACGGTCACCCTGGGCTATGGGAACATTTGATGGGAACCAAATGATTAATCGGGAAAACCATCGTTAGATTAATCGACAATAAAAATTATAATTATTTGTACGTCTAAGGGGTACCTGAAGAGACAATTATTTGTCAGAAACTCCCCACAGAAAAAAAAAAAAAAATTTAATCGTCCTCTTAGCCAAAAAATTAAAACTGTCACGGCTTGTCTGAGGGGCACCAGCTCATGCAAACAAGTGTCTAGACAAATGCAGCCTGCAGAGCTGACACCACTGTGCAGCTTTGAAGTCATGCACTATTCACAGCTGAGCGGATCCAGTGTGTGCTGATGATACAGTTACCCTTTTCTCTGCTGCTGCATCCCGCCTGAAGAGTCGGATACTGCACTGTAGTGTAACGTCTTCCATACAGGTGGTTCTCTCGGTCACCTAAAGGCTGATATATAGCAGAGCCTCATATAAAGTGTAAACATCTTTCTTCAGAAAATGGCCTCAGGTGTTGTTCTATTCACTGTTTTAAAATCGTGATCAGTTCTCACGTGAGCATCTCAGTTTACTGACTGCACCATACGTTTTTCCTTTTGTTTGAGTTTCAGTGAGTTCAATTCAATGCATGATTAAATGATAAAGCACTTGATACTGTATTGACTACAAAACAAAAGACAGCTTTGGACAAAAAAAGCTAAAGGTCAAAGAATTTCAGTTGTTTTTATCTTGCCATTGTTGTAACATGAGTATTTGCTCCCTAGGCATCTGGTGGATGGAGAGAAAATGGAGCTGAACACAAGAGAGGTGCCTCTATATGTAAGTGCCTACATGTTTTGCTCCAGTTTGTAAGTGTCTGATGTAGTGGTGGTCTCGCAGAGGGGTCTGATTGTGTATTTTTTGGGTGTGGTTGGGTAAAAACATGAACTCTGAGGAGCAGTCTCCCATATTTAGAAGCAATGCTGTGTTTTCCTACTAGAATTAGAGCGCTCTAGTCTTTCCCTCCAGCCGTCTCTCAGGCCTGACTCTCCCTCTGTGCAGTGGTTGACTGGCAAGCCTTGTGTCGCAGGTGAAACTCAAGCCAGGAGGGTTTCAGTCCCTGGGGAAGCCAGGCCTTACACAGCCTGCTCACCAAATGACAAGGCTCTCTGAAAGCATGGTGAACATAGGAGCCAGAATGAGAGAATATACCTATTTGTTTCTTGTTTTTTTTGCTGTAAGGAATACACCAGTGTATTAAGTGAATAAATACAAATTTTCCATATGGAAGCATGGGGTGCAGGGTGTGCAGGTGTGTTTGAATTATGTTTTTTTGACATAGTAAAACTCACTTTCTCTCTGCTACTTTCATTTCTTCCATCTGTCTTCCTTTTCCCCTTCAATCACCCATATCCGCCATCTCTCTCTCGCCCTTATTCTCCTGTGTGTGTGTGTGTGTGTGGAAGCCTGGGTGGGCCAGTTACTGAAGCGTTGCCAGATTTCTGGTAAGCAGAGTGTCTGCTTGTTTTGCTGTGTCACCAGTTTCAGAGTGGAGGGGGGGGGGGGGGGGGGGTCGCTCCAAATCCTTCTCCTCCACTCACTCATAGAGGCTGATTGAGGACCAGTCTGAATCCAAGCATGTGAATCATTACGGGCTCTACCACTCACACATACACCTCTCCATTAAGAGGAAGTGGCGTCTCCACCCTCTAAGGTCACAGCTCAACAGGAGCAACTCTCACCGCTGAATGAGATCTAGATTTCAATGCCAGGCTTTGTGCAGGCGAGCCACGGCACACTGCTGTGCTATAAAGGCCGTTATTGTAACACCCTTAGTAAAGTGTTATGGTGCGCCTTCCACACATACAACATAGTGTCAGGCCCATAGCAGATACTGTCCAGCTAGATCAATGGATAAATGGTTGCATTGAATTGCAGGCAGAAAGTGTGGGAGTTCCTGTGTTTGAGGAGGTTTTATTGAGCTGCAGTGCAGGACAAAGTGATTTTGTTCGTCCACATGTGTGTGTGTGTGAGTAAAAGTAATCTCCCTGCAAAAAACTGAACTAATGCTGGTGAGCTGTAATGTGATAAGTACACATCTGGTGTGTGAGAGAAAAATACAAAACAAAACAAAACAAAAGTTTCTCACTTACTTATCCATCTCTAGCAGCGTAGCTCTAGGGATGGCAATGACAGTCTGTCTAACCTGTTGGGGTCGTTCCACCACTCTCCTGACTTTTCCTTAAGTGCCACCACAAGGTTGACAATTCCAGTTATGAGGAAGATACCACTGCAATACCTGGATGAATAGATACAATTTTTTTGTCCATTAATTTATGTTACCCAAAGGATGAGCAGTAATTACTTTGGTGATCCCCTAAATTTTTAAAATGTTTCTTTGTCTAATACTTTGGTTTATAACCAAATACCTGCAAAACTAATGACATTCAATCAGTCGCACTGTGTGTCAGTGGGAGCGTATCTATGTTTCCCGGGTTCTATGTTCCCCACTTAACCCTGCAAAAAAGCTTCTATGTTCCCTGCTTACACAAAAAAGGTTCTATGTTTCCCGGGTTCTATGTTTCCTGCTCAACCAAGCGGGAAACATAGAACCCTTTTTGTGTAAGCAGGGAACATAGAAGGTTTTTTGAAGGGTTAAGTGGGGAACATAGAACCCGGGAAACATAGAACCCTGGGAACATAGGGATGACCCGTGTCGGTGACCAAATGTAGCACGTTAGCATACTAAACTAAGACACATCAACATGTTGGCACTGTGATTGTTAGCATGTTGATGTTAGCATCACGCCAAACCACTGCTGTGCCTAAATACAGTCTCACAGACCTGCTAGCTTCTAGCATGGCTGTCAACCCTTAAGGGTAATTTTGGTATTTTTCAACCTGGACTCTTTTTCTTATGTTTTTATGTCTATGTGACTAATGGAGACAACGTTTTTTGAAAGTGGTCCAGTATTGAGTGAAACTGCTGCAGCCTGCAGCAGCAAAACAGGCTGCAATGTAGCCTAAAGTTAAATGGCAATTAAACACCATCAGTTATATCCTTTGAAAGTGTTTGTTTTTGCCCCTGACATTCTCGGATTTTTATTTTTAATGTCTGACAACATTATGAAAAGGATCCCTACAGAGACAGACTTTTTTGTTAATAGCAAGATCCTTTTTGTTTAACAAGAAACAGCCCCAAAATAACTGTCGCTAAACCCACCAGACTTTATTCATTTTATCACTATAAAACACACTTCATTTTAAGTCAACAGAAACAAAATATAACTCACAAAAACCATTTTGGTTCATTTTTCCACTGTTCCAACAATCACCTACTCTGGTTTGATTGAAATAAACATTTAATTCACCCAGTTAGATGTGAAAATATGCTGGTTCTATACATGCTTAAATTACTATTAATTTAAATGGAATCTTGTGGGTTCGGCAATGGTGATTTTGGGGCTGTTTCTGGTTAGACAAGAAGGATCTTTCTCTTAAACAAAGGAGTCTATCTCTGTAGTAATCCTTTCCATAATGTCAGACACTTAGACTAACACTGTGAGCATGTCAATGGCAAAAACAAGCACTTTTAGTGGATGTAAATTCAGAAATGCCCTGAGAAGTTGGATTACGTTGAACCCTTTTTTGCAGCTGCTGGCTGCAGCAGTCTCATTCAATACTGGACTAATTTCAAAAATAGTTGTCTCCATTAGTCACAGAGACACAAAAACATTGGCGCGTCCAGGTTGAAAAACAGGCTACAGAGGTAGTACCGTTTGAATTTGTTTCTTTATAACAGCTATCATCTCACACAACACAACTGCATGTTCACAGATGGAGATAGATTAGCTACATCCTTGTTGTACAGTACCACGTTTGTTCAATTGCCTGTATGGTGTGATAGTCATAGTTATCACATTGCTCTTTGAGCTAGTGGGTGTGCTGCGTTATGGTTTATGATTTTGTTTTCTCTTTAAGTGCTGTGGTGATTGTGTTTGCCATGCTTTTCACATGCCAAACAAACAAAACCTCACCCTGCCAGTCGTTAATTGACGTTTGATAAGCTAGTCATAAAAGAAGAAAAAAAAAATTGCTTTTACTAGAACAAATAGACATGTGGTGTTATTACAGCTGTTTTCCCAACTATTGCAGTTAGAACTATAATAGTTTTAATAATTATTAATGTCAGTTAACACTTTGCTTCTTGGTATTCTTATGTAACAAGGAGTCTACACCTGGGAACCCTCTTCTTTGAAATGATATGTTTGCGGCACCATGCCAGGCTTACTGACAGCATTTTCTGACATGTATAGTATCTCATTAGTATCTCATTTGCACAGCAGATTAAATCAGAGGTATGTGTCTCAGCAGAGTATGAGAAAAGGCAGACAGCACAGTTCTAGCTGTCACACTCAAGACTCCAGTGAGATTCTGGTCTACTGAGTTTCTTTTAGCTCAGATGTACGCACTCTACAGTACACGTCACTGTTGTTAATGAGTGACTTGGAAATATTTAAAATACTTTCACTTTGAAACATTCATAGGAGTTTGAAAAGACTTTGTTAGCTTGCTTTAATGTTTATAAAATTGAGCATATGGATGTGGGTAGCATGTGCCTTTTCTCGGCCCTCTGTTGGTTTTTGATCAAAGCCAACCATCAAGTAATAATGATTTATAGTGACTGTGTGAGGATTTCAGCACACTTCATTTTTTAGTTGAACTTGTCTTAACGAGACAAAATGTCATCTGTGTTGGTTGCCAAACTGAAACAGTATACTGTGAAAAACTGTTAATATTTAAAACAAAATATTGTCTGTCCCCGCTGACGTCAGGCTGTCTTCTCACCAAGGGAACTGACTGTTATTGGAGCTGTTTTTGTTGTTGCAGTGGCAGTGATCTTGCTCCCCTGACGTCACCTACGTGTTGCACTCAAGAGATCATAGCAAAGAGCTCTAAAGCTGATGACTGCTGGTTTCCTGGAGACCACAGGCAGCAGATCTGACGTTGTTTTTCATCACTGAATGGACAACAACATGAGATTATAAAAGCATGTCACTGGTGTGTGCTTGGAGTTGGTGTTCTATTGAAAACAAATATTTATATGCACCAGTTATTATGTCATATTAAGGCAATCAGACACAACATTATTCGCTTTTAGGTTTGTACCAAGCTGCTATTGCATATGTGATAGACCTCCTCATGTTCCATAATTAACACATTTGGCCTGACCTGAGAGCTGCCCATATAGAAGGCATGAGGTAAAAGCACAAGGTGTTGAATATTTCATTGTTACTGGATCAGGTTGTGTCATGATAAAGCCCAGGAGAAAAGGCCATAGATCACATCAGTTTGACGTCTTATCACCAGCCAGCCTTCCTCCTTCCTCTTTCCCCAAGGCACAGGAGATACAGTTAGTCTGATCAAATTCTACCTGTCTAAACCAATATTATGTGAGGCTGCTGCTGATTGTTGGGACAATGAAGTGGGACCTACAGCGTCCTTGAAGGAGTGAAAACAAAATCAAAGGTTATTGAAAAAAAGCATGTATGTTTTTTTTGTCCTTCATAGACATTTAAATCTATTTAGCTGGAGGACAATTGCATAAAGATAAAACAGCACAGACAGAGAATAAATAGATCTCCTTGATGTTATTATGATATATCAGAATATGACTTGTTAGGTTAAGGTAGAATTATTGTGAGATTATGATCTTTGTCCAAAATTTAGCAGAGGGAAGTCCCGCCAGTGCAAAAGTTTAGTAAAATTTAATGGTTACTTTAAAAACACAAAGATAGTCTGTCACATTTTCATAAGATTAATAAAATTCTACTTTCATAATGAACAAAATGTAAAATAATCAGTGATGCCCCGTGACTCACTAGCCTTGTAAGAAATCAGGAAGTCTGCACAAACCAAGGGCTGACATCTTATCTTTGTTAGTTGGAAAAACAATCAGCGATAACATTAACAGCGGTAAGTGTGCGCTAAGTGGTACTGCAGCCAACCACTTAGTGCATACAACAAGCTGAGAAACTGCAGCCTATGTCAGACCTCTGTTATCAGTCCAAACCACCAGCCTGCTAACACGAGGTCAGTGTCATTTATACCTCTGAAACAATATGAACTGGATTCAAGTCTGGAAAGCTCCAAGAGTCTCAAGGCAAAACAAATAAAAGGGACACTGATATAAGTTTGAAGCTCAGTGAAACATTGACTGGTTAGCCAGGGGCATGATGGTCTTTCCTTATGAGGTTGTGCAGAGAAGTATTTCACTTTAAATTTGTAAGATGCAAAACACTGCCCACAGCTGCTCAAGACTCTTAGTTTTGTTTAAAGATATTGATGCAGATTATATAATCAATGGAACACAGTCTGAACTATAATTGCCAACTGTGTAAGCTTCAGTTCCTTATAGTGACTGACCACTAAATGGAGGCAGTTTACATTTCAGCATTTTTGTGGAATGGTAGTGGCCTTACTTATCTCGTTTTACCGGTAGGAGGAAATCAAAAGTGGTTTTGAATAAGACTTTTAGGCTAATGGAATTTAATGTAATACTTTGACAGCACAAAATAAGCCACTGCGGCTTTTTTTAAATAAAGGATATACAGACTTTTTTTATTGTTAATATGAGAATTATATGAAGGGTGATCCATTTAAGTGTACGAGTAGGATTTTTGATGGAAGACAGCCCCCTGATGTAGATTGGAAGCCATCCCCAGGAATCAATCATTTTGAATACTATAGTCTAGCCTTGCTAATGTTAACGTTAGATATCTGAGAAAGTATGTAACTCCATAAACCAATACAATAACACAATGGCTAAACAACGGTAAGAAATGTATTATTATTGGTCTTAAAGGCTATCTAGCTGCCTTTAAAGGGGGGTGGGGGGAGGGGGGGCTATAGCCAGCTAGCTGTTGCTACAGCACGCTAATATTGATAGCTTTTACTGCTGGGGCTAGTGCTAGCTAGCTAGTGCCAAAGCAAGCTAATATCCTTGCTAATACCGCTAGGGGGGTTAGTGCTACAGCAAGATAATATTGCTAGCGAATACTGTTGTATGTGAATACTGCTGCGTGTGTGTGTAGTGCTAAAGCAAGGTAATATTGCAAGCAAATACTGCTGGGGGGCTATTTTCAGCTAGCAATAGCAATGTTATCCGTTGTTGCTGTGACCATACCTCAACTTTTTCCCTATTGTAGGCCAGCCATTCCTGATAATGTAAGAAATTATAGCCTGTGTGTGTGTGTGTGTGTGTGTGTGTGTGTGTGTGTGTGTGTGACTCTTCACATAAAGTTTAGCTGGTGCAGGCCCTAAAAATATATTTAACATAATGGATGCATTAGCCTAATGTATTAACAATAATGATAAACTAAGGATGACACCATTAATCACAAGATAAAACCCTGAGCTGAGCACAAGAAAACAAAAGATAAGGATATTGCACAAACATGGAACTCCAAGTATGCGATCCCTCTTGAACTTGAACGATACACTCTGAGCTAACCCTCTTTCTCTGGGGGAAAATTTATACAGAAGTGGTAAAGTAAATCTTGTGGTTTCCATGTTTGGTATTCTAAATTGATTATGAGGACAAAAACATTTCACGTTTGCCTTGTTTTGGTAACCTAATGCTTGGCATCACTGCATCAGTGGTTATATGCTGTGGAAACATATCAGCTGCAATGAATAATGAGCAATAGAGGAAGTCTTTGTCTGTGTTTGGATTTGTAGATGTGGGCACACAATATGAGCTTCTACTCAGTGAAATCTATCTGCGTCTCTTGCCCTTCATGTCTTGTAGATGGTACAATTTTAGGAGGGTTGGTTAGTGTCTTTATGGTGATGCAGGAAAAAAGCAGAGTTCAGATTAGGTCAATAAACAAGGTCAATGATGTAACAGAAATAGTGAATCTCATTTTGAAGGTGGATCATGAAGTAGACACTCAGTGGGGTGCAGCTCACTCCCATTGTGAGAGAATGAGTGGTGTCTCTATTTTCTTTTCTTTTTTCTTTGCTGCCCCATTTTTGCTCCTTTCTTGCAGTTTAAAAAGGTCTGTGAACTTTGTAAAACTGGCCTAAGGTTATCAGAAAGTGTCAGCAGGGTGATAATTGTTGTAAATACATGATGATTATTGTAAATACAATTAATTGAATTTTCTTTTTTTTTTCATCTCAGGGACAGGTGGAGGCCCACATACAGTTGCAAGATAGCACTCCTGAGGATGCAGAGTTTTACGTTGTTGTACAAGGCTCTAGACTTACACATGTGACTGCAGCAAAGAGAGGAGATGATGGACTTACTCTTCGCTTCACAGTTCCCGGTATGTCCTTATTCAGCCTCTAACAACACAAAGAGTTCTCTCTCTGCCTGCCGTTGTCTCACCACCTCCTGTCATGATCTTCCTTTATCTCCCACAGGCCATGACCTTGTGGAAATTGCCTCTGTCACATCCTACTTTCATACAGAGGACCAAGTCAAACCGTATGCGGGTGAAGCGTCTCTTGAATACCTCAGGGACGTTGCTCAGGAGGCAGCAGAGTACCTGAGTGCAAACAGGGACCAGCTTGGCCCCCAGAGCTACCTAGAAGTCCTGAAGAGGTTTTCCACATTGGCGCAGGCAGCTGATGAAGAGCTCTTAGCTGTGGAAATAGACTGCAAAGAGGAGGATGTGCAGCACAGAGAAAGTTTAGGTGATGAAGCTGGATGTCTCAGGCAGCTGGATGAGAAGATCACACAGGCCATAGCCAACATGGATTACCCTCAGCAGTGGAAGAATACTGACAGTCAGCCAAGAGAAGGTAATGACACAGGAAGTAGGAGTGTAAGTGATGAGCTGTGATCTTGTAGGTTTTTATTTGCCAGAGGTAATTTTGCTGCCACTTCAGCCTCATTGCATGTTATTGGTGTTTTCTGACAGCTCTAAAGCACAGATGGGTCTGCATATTGTGCTGTATTAATTATTTAAACTTAAAAAAGTTCCGCCGCAAAGCCTAGAGGTCTTGTCCACTCATGTCCTAGTTTGTACTCTGCTACTTCCTGGATCATTTACAGAGGTCAAATATCAGGGATTCCCCTCTGTTCAGCAGATATAAAGGCTCTCAATGGTTAAACTTCCAAAGGTTTTTTTTGTTCTGTTTTGTTTTGTACATTTTTTGCTGTTGTTGCTGTTATGCACATCCTGGAGATCTTCCTAAGGGCTGGTTCACTCAAGGTCAGAGACATATTTTATGACTTAACTCTATGTGTTGTCTCATTTGCACAGGTTTTGAGGTATCCATCTAATATTCATAGACACTATTTCTGCAGTAGAAAGGAGCTAACTGATCAGGTAGAGGATTATCCCGAATAAAAGAGACACTCACTCTGGAAAGACATGATTGATTTTTTTTAAACTTACACTATACTCTTCCACAAGTGGGTCAAAAATAAATCAGTAGTTTTGTTAATAATAAAAACACATCTTCATATATTGGCGGCATGGTGCTGCAGTGGTTAGCACTGTGACCTCATAGCCAGTGGGTTCTGGGTTCGAACCCACCGGCTGGCTGGGGCTCTTTTGTATGGGGTGCTATGTTCTTCCCATGTCAGCGTGGGTTTTCCCCAGGCTCTCTGGCTTCCTTCCACAGTCCAAAGACATGCAGGTTAGGTTAATTGGGGACCTTAAATTGCCCGTAGGTGAGATTGTGAGCGAAAATGGTTGTTTGTCTCTTTGTGTCAGCCCTCCAATGGTCAATTGACCTGTCCAGGGTTTACCCCACTTTTCACCCAGTGTCAGTTGGGATAAGCTTAAGCCCTGCCGCGACCCTGAACAGGATAAGCGGTTATAGATAATTAATGAATGAGTTTTCATATTTTTGTTTGAACAAATTACCTGATTTTCATACAATTATTTTTATCATCAATTTATCATATAAAAATCGCTTCTTAGCCTGTTCCTAGGACTGCACTCATCTGGACAGTGACCTCAGATGTTGTACCTGGAATCAGTTGGAGCCACTCACAGCCTCAAGTGTTTCGATTACCACTGGCATCACTGTTGCCTTTACTCCCCACATCTTTTCTAGCTCCTCTCTCAGCCCTTGGTATTTTATGAGCTTCTCGTGTTCCTTCTTCCCGATGTTACTGTCGCTCGGAATTTGCCACATCTATCACCGCTGCCGCCTTCTGTTGTTTGTCCACACGACGTCCCATTGGTTAGCTATCAACAGTTTGTCAGTCTGGAGCTTGAAGTCCCACAGGATCTTAGCTTGGTCATTCTCAACCACCTTAGGAGGTGTCTTCCATTGTGACCTTGGGACTTCCAGCCCATATGTATAGTGTATATATATATATATATATATATATACACATATATATATTAGGGATGCGGCCGATTAGATGCCTTAACGATTAAACGTCAGCCCCCTCACTAGTCGGCACCAGAAATATTAGTCGGTTAAAGCAGAGATAATGGATAAAGGAGATACCCCAACGTAGGTTACTCTTCCTGTCTCCTAAGTGGGCGTGGTTAGCTCTCCCTCCAATCAGAGCCTGTTCTCCCTCAAACCCCCCCCCCTCCCCACCACCGTGTTGAACAGAGGCTCTGTGGATGTCTGTGTATGCGGATCGAGAAGCAGGTGGAATGAAAATACATTCTTCCTATTATTGCAGCCTATTGCTGCACAAAGCTTGGGCATTTTTTATTTATTACTAGCGGTAAATAACTGTTTGTAAGCTAACTGTGATTTTACCGCCTGTTTATCAAGATTACAAGATCTCGCGAGAACTTGTTTTCTGAGACGGACAGGGCTCAAACAAAGTTAATTTTCTCTTGATCTGAGAGGATGAAAAATGCAGCTTTAGAGTCAGAATGTTGGTAAGATGTGTGGCTTGTGGAAAACGAACCCAATATTTAATTTAGTGACTATAGGGCGAAAGAATTGACCATAAATTGTGATCACGTTCATTTTACTCATTGACGACAATACATTCAGAGCTGCCGCAAGTCTCCTATGGGGGCGTGGCGCTAACGTCACTGAATCAGGAAGTGAGCTGAGTGGGGTATCTTGCTTTATCCAGTATCTCTGGTTAAACCAATTAGTGTTTTATTAATGTACAAAACCGCTTAACTGTCATGCAGCTGCCTGCCACTAGTGGGTGTTACAGAGCCATCAGACAGCAGTCCCCCTGCTAACGGAAATGCTTGACTAGACTGGAGTTTTAAAACAGCACGGTGGGAAATTGGAGAGATGTCCTCTCACAAAACCAGCGCGGTTTGACAGTGAGATGTTATATTATTTGTTAACTTTGAGTGAGTTGTCAGATAATGTGCAGGGTTTACATTCATACTGCATGGCCCAAAATGCTTCTCATTTCAGCTGAACTTTAATTATAATTTAGATGTTTTATTAACTTTGAAGTGAATTGCTATAATTTCTGTCAGATAATCTGCAAGGTTCAATGTGCCCCATATTTCAGAGGCTATTTTTTTTTAGATGTTATCTTAGAGGTGAACTTTAGACTGAGTTGCCATCACGTTCACATTCATACCGCATGGTGCAAAGTGTCTCGTACTTCAGAGACATTTAGAATCCAACATGGTTGTTGAAGATTGTAATTAAAGGCTTCAAAAGGCTTTTAGTGCACACACTATTATTTGGGGACAATGTTTCAAATACTTAACAATTAATTGTGCTAAATTTGGATTGTTTTCCCTTTTTTAGACTAGTCAACTAGTCTTAATTAAAATGTCCGTTTAGTCGACAGGGAAATTAGTTGCCAGGAACATCCCTAATATGTATAAGGAAATGTGTTGACTGTGTGACTTGCTACTCACAAAATGTATACTTGTTACTTGTTACTCTTTTCAAAAGTAATATTATTACTTTCTTGCTACTCCCTTCCGAAAGTTATTTGTAACAATACATGTTATGTTTCTTTTCCGTTACATCCCACAAAATGGGTAACTTATTCTTAGCTTAGATAGCTTGCAAATGATTTCTTACCTGGGGTCATCTGTTTCCTGTGACTGGTATTTTTCCAAGGATCTGCCTGAAAAACGAAGATTCAGTTGTGGAGATAGGCAACATTTCATCTACTACGTATCTAGCCACAGGCTTCATTAGTACTTTGTTGCTTGCACCCTGAAGCTGTCCATAATTAAAATCCAGTTTTGGTTGTTTAGCCAGTGTAGGGCTACAGCCATCCTCTGCAGCTTTATATTGTTGTGCTGCTGTAGTAGGTATTTCAGGAGGGTTGAGGTCATGTTTTTCATAGTGGAAAGAATCTTAAGTAAGCTCCTAATAAATGCATACAATTTACATTTCCCATCAAATAATGTGAATATTTACAGCTGTTAAAAGTAAGCATTTCCATCTTCCAAACTATAGCTTTACACTACTTATCATTATTGTAGTGTGTTACTGTCAAACACTGAAAATCTCACAACCTCAGATATCTCAAATCCTTGGCAAAATAAAACTGTCATCATAGCCTAATGCCACCAGAGGAGTTTTGGTTTTTTTGGAACTGCCCCTTAAATGAACAAACTATTAGTCACTCAGGTTAATATCATTGCAGTGGTGTTCTAGTGTTTAGTAGGTTTGCAACCCAACATGAGATCTGACTGTGTGCAGCCCAAGTCTTTTATCACATGATGTGCAGGACCAGCCAGCCAGCCGGGTAGAGGCCAGTGTGCTCCAAAGACAGAGCAATTACTGCCATTATTCCTCTTCAGCCGGATTAGAGTTGTCTTGCAGACCTCTGCGTCTATTAAATCAACTCCCACAATCCTCCTCTGCGCTGCACTCCCTCTCCTTTACACCACAGGCGTGTCAGAGTTGTTTCTGGCGTCTGGCCTCAGACTTTGTTATTTACGATGTTTCATTATTTCAAAGCAGCAAAGTCTCACCTCATTTTTTAGGAAATGAGGGCAAAACACTCACAGCATCCCAAGGTATTACTATATATTGGACATGGGTGCATTTCAAGAAATTACATGCCTTAGTATGGAAAAATATGCAGAGGTGATTGAATTGGAGTTTATTCCCTTCTTGAATTTCCAGATTGTTGGGAAGAAAAATTAAGAAACTAAATTGGATCCCTTAACAAATGCCCATATCATGTTTGGCCCTCAGCAGTGTAGTATACAGTATGTGCATTGCTTGCTTAGACAAAGCAAGTGTCCATGCAAAACACGGGTGAGGTGCAAATGCAAAGCAACTGTCGGCCCCTAGTTCCTCAGTGCACTATTGACTGGTCGGTTTGACAATGACATTCTTGTTTGTTGAACTTTGCATGAAGAGCATGTTCAGCATTTACTCCTCTCAGTCGGTCGAATCTGGGTCACAATTAACAGCGCTATTGTGGAGGTGACAGGGAGTTTCAGTTCATCTCAGGGCTCAGGCGACAGATTGGAGGGAAAAGAGAAAATAAGAGTTGAATTCTTCTGCACATTGTTTCTGGGTTCGCAAGATAGCACCATGGCAACCGTCAGCTCTCACACACACTTACAGAGAAGGCCCAAAGATAAAGTACCTCTGGTCCTCTCTACAAACACTCTTTCATCCTGTGCTTACAAAACAACAAGAGTGTATACGCAGGTTTTGTGCTGAGCAGTGATCAGCAGAAAGCTGTTGCCACCCTCTGCTTCTGCATAATATTAGCCTAGAGAGTGCATGTGAGGGCTTCATTCAGAGTGATTCAGAATTGTTTATATACCCTTATACTCTTTTATGCTCCGCTGCACACACTTCAGAAGGCAGCAACTGTTAGAGCAGGTGTCAGCTCGGTAACACATCCAGTTTTTCTAGGTAATAGTATTATTGATATACTGCAGACCTTTCGTAACCAAGAGCCATTCATTCCTGTACCTGAACGGTTTATGACTGCCATACGTTCCACACATATGCAGTAGATGATCGGTGCACCTGCAGAGTTAAGAGAGCATGTATAGAATAATACACTTTGATCAGTTTGAAGGTTGATTAAAAAGGTCTAATTAACAGATGTATGGTATAGCCTGATTGATGCTGTTTTGACAATTGATATTTGTGAGTTTGAGATAACAATATATCAGCTGCTTTTTTTTTTTTTTACCTAAACACCTAAAGGGATACTTTGCCTTATTCAACCCGCTTTGTATCATAACAATGTGGGTAGTTTATGAAAATGAACAGTGGAAAACTTCTGTAGTGGCAAAATAAGATTGGATTGGGTTTTCTTTGACCCCTGTTCCAATTTCTTGTTCTTATCACATGGGGAGTACAGGTGCACTGTGTCACACTTGCAGCCTTCATTCCAATAATATTTCAGAGGGTGTTTAGCATTCACTGTGGCTTATATCTTACTGCCAAAAAAACACATAACATGATGCAGTGATTTCAGGGTCCTTACATTTAAACTAGTGTTTGCAGTTTCCATTCACCTGCGGAGCTTATGGCTGTAGTGATGCTAAGGTGGAGGTCAATAACGGCATCTGCTGTCACCTGCCTTCTCTCCGCCAAATTAAAGCTCAGTGTCCTCACCACCTTTATTATGTGAATCCAAATAAACTTAAATACAGCTCCTACAACTTTCCTCCATCTTTCCAATGCCCAGATCTCCCTGCTCATCTTTCACTGGCTCTCAGTATGGATAGGAGAACTAATAAGTAGGAGAACTGGATACAGCATCGGAGGCAGAGCCCTGTCATTCCTATGAAAGTTGCTCAGTGGTGCATGAACCCAAAAACGTTCAATTGCAGCATATAAAATTACCCAGATGATCAGTGCTTCTTCTGCATCATTTGGAACAAGTGCACTGGAGACTGATGCTGGCCAAGCCAACAACTTCTGGTTTAGCGTTCTGCTACCTTGAATGGGGATAAAATGATTTAATCATGCGGCTCTTCTAGACTTTCTAAATGTTATCGGACAGAATAGATCAAATACTGATACTGAAACAAATCATTTTGCAGCCGTTGTGATGCTCAAAAAAATTTTATCCACTGATTTACAGACAACTCTTTCTCCATGGCAAGCCTTCGTCATGTGCCTCTTAAGTGTCGAGGTCCCTGTCTTTTTGCTGTCATATACCAGCATCGTGCTGTACTTAATACACTCGACGAAGCTGACACACACATTATCACCGTTGACAACTCACATGTGCGCGACCCCTCCCCCCACGTGTGGTAAGTAGTTTGTTCCATAGCCTAGGTCTATTATGAGGAGCCCAACCTGTCCGAACTCAAGGATAGTGGTGGGAAATTCCGGGTTGGGCTCGGGCTCAGGCAGAGAATCTAAGTTCTAGCCCAATGGTATTAAATGATTGGCTTGGAAGTTGTAATACCACTGTTTAGCCACTGCAAAAATTTGATTCAAAGCTAGGCACACTTCCTGGGGGCTCTTGGGATGTTGCTCAAACAACAGATTATACTTCCTCACCACGGACACAAGGAGTATAGAAGGAGATCAAGAGAGAGACCTGCCGCCTCTACCGTACAGATGTGTGTTTCCTAGGATAGCAAAGGCATGACCAGCCCTACTCTCCCTCTGAGTGCCTATTACTGGTTACCGTCATTGGTTGAACTGTTTGGGTTTAGGCAAGAAGAGTGAGATTGATTAGGGTTAAGGTAAGAATGTCAGGGTAAACCAATTAAAGGCAAAGTAGGGCAGGTCATGACTTTGCTATCCTGGGAAACACAAATTTGCCTCTCCCTCTCTCAAATTTAGACTTAACTCCGATCCAATGTTAAAACTAAGCAGTACTGACCAAATATGAACCAAGATTCTGTTACTGCTTTGCCTATTTCTCGCCTCAGATGTTTTCAGAATCATATTTTAACTTCCTGTTTAACTGTAATCTGAGATTGTTTGTTACCAACTAGATGCCATATTGTTTGCTGTGGAAATGCATCCAAGCTTCATCACCCACCAGCAGGAGCGTTAAGTGGTCCACTGTGGTGCAGTGCATTCTGGTAGTTGTAGGTGTTCCACCTGTTAAGCAAAAGTTTTTTTATAGACATGTAGCACCAGTTTTGTAAGTGTTTGTATTTCTCCTGCATAGACAGCCTAGTTTTATAAAAGAACCATCTTTCCAGCATTGAAAACCTTCTTTAAGATGAACAACAGCCTGTAAAGTATAGTATAGTATATAGTATAGTTTTGAAGACCTACAGTATAGACTAGTATGGTCCTAGTATGGACATTTTTAACTAAAGTATGCTTATTAAAGGGACAGTTTACCCCCAAATCAAAACTACATAGCCTTCTTCTTACCTGTAGTGCTATTTATCATTCTAGATTGTTTTGTTGCTGAGTGTTGGAGATTTTGGCCAGAGATATCTGGCTTCTCTTGAATATAACGGAACCAGATGGCACTAGGCTTGTGGTGTTCAAAGCTCCCCAAAAATACATTTGAAAAACTCAACTGCAATGTCTCTTTCCAAACATCATGACCCAGTTACTCAAGATAATCCACAGACCTTGCTGTTAGCAGTTTCATAAAGTAACTATTTTCTTTCTACCAAACTACACCCACCAACCAAATCACTGGCAAAAGGAAGCATGCATCTACTGCTAGCTCACCTAGTTACACTGAGCTAGCTACCTTTACAGCTCAGCCGGACAGAATGCCAAGATGCTGAACCCCTGTCTGTTCATTCATTTTAAGATGTGCAAAAGCCTTATATAACTGCCGAAAGTCTAATGTGATTCTACTTGATCGCTCAATTCATGTCAGGTAAAAATGTAGTATACATTTGTGTCTATGCCTGCACATCATTCCCTCTTCATTCTTTGTCTCTTTCTCTAGCTGCTGAGCTTCAACCCAAAGAAACCCTCCTTCACCTTGCAGTGCGCTTGGGTTTGGTCCATCTCTCCCGTTTCTTAATCCACCAGCCAAGGGGTCAAAGGGTGTTGACCTTACCAAATCAGGAGGGAGACACACCTCTCCAGCTGGCTCAGAAGGACGGACAGCATGCCATGTTCAGAGTGCTGGCAGCGTAAGGCTGTGATTTTATCTGATGTGTTATTTTTGACGCATGATGACTAATGAAGACTTTTGAAAAGGCTGATTCATAGGGGAGGCTCCTTTCTGTTCTGTTAACCTCATTTCATATAATCTGTCCTTTTCCTCATCAGTCCTCCAGGTCCTGTAGTCGGCCCTGTTCCAGGTGTGTGGTGTGTGTGGTCTGACAGCTCCTGCATGCTGAGGTTTTGTCCAGGGACGGACTCCCTGACGCTCACTGTGCGGCAAACACCGGGAAGCTCCCCTCAGGATGGCATCACAACCTTAAGAAACAAAGTAGGAGACCACAGCATCCTAAAAATGGTGAGAGCAAACCACTGGGAACACCTTTATTTGAAAACCTTATCGCAAACCCATCTATCACATAATATAGGACAGGAATGGCTGATAAATATTCCCATGCATCTCCCTGCATGATGTAATGTGTCGTTGCTGTCGAGATAAGGCCATTTGTTCAGGTTTTGTTCAAGCTAATGTAAACAAAAAAGCCCTCGACTCCCACACACTTTAACATGCAATCAGACATTTTGATAAGAGTTGAGCAAGTAACAGTGAACAAAACATTGCAGCTATTGCAGCTAGTAAATCAAAGGACATGAGGCAGTAATGTGAAAAGGACAGACAGTTCAGGATGCAGTGATCTTAGATTGTGCAAAATAAACTTACTTGATGTTATTATGGAATAGTTGATCACATAAGTTAATCATATTACCTGATAATATCCTAATCTTTGAGCTGTTATGTGGTGATTTCTTTGTATAATTTACTGCAGATGCAAAGATCCGATACTGATATTGGATATTAGCTGATACTGTCTGGATCACAATTCAGTGATAATGGATCTATTCAATTCAGATGTTTTATGCTGTAATTTTTATTCCTTTGTAAGTTTTTAATTGTAATTTTGAAGATTTTGCATCAAGTTTCTGGTGCACGATTTGTTATTTAATTAATGATCAACAATTCAGATCTTTGTGGGGTTTTTTTCATATTTTGTTTTACAAGGTTAGGAAGCAATGTTAAAGTCAGTTTTATTATATTTATATGTTGACACGCTTGCTTTTATTTATGTGAGGCACACTGAATTTACCCTGTGTACACAATTTGAAACAGATTTCTGTGGTGGTGACTTTTTTTTATGTAGGCAGATGCGGAAGTTAGCATGTCTCTGGTTCCCTCATCAAAAACCTATGGGATTTTTCCATTGGATTTTGGATTATTGCAGAAAAATAAGCTCATAAAAAACAAACCTTTTTGATACTTTCATGTTTTGTTTAGCAAGATAATCTTCACAAATGAACACCACTTTTATAATTTTTGAGATAATGTATCATGTATTATCAGGAACTTTAATTAATTTATTTTTTTTTACTTAAATACCTAAAGGAATACTTGGCTGATTTTCAACCTGCTTTGTGTCATAACAATGTGGGTAGTACATCAAAATGAACATTAGAAAACTTCCCTCCATCTTTTCAGTGCTCATCTTTCACTGGCTCTCTGCTTGGATATATAAAGAGAACTAGCTACAGCATTGGAGGCAGGACCTCATTCTTTCCGAAGAAAGTTGCTCAGTGGTGCATGAAGCCAAAATCATTACATTAATGCAATCAACAGCAGTAGCAAGCTAACAATAGGCTATAAATGAACTATACTACAGTTGCATGACTTAGCGGTGCCTCAACAACAAGGCTGTAAAACCATGTTCGGCGTAGTGACATTCTGTAGACTCATTTAACGTAAAAGCTTCAAAATTCACTAGGGGGGTGTTTACTGATGTATTTTATGTCGTAGAAAAAAAACATGAAATTTTCCTAAGCTTTAAGACATTATTTCAGGCATCTAACCAAAAAACCCATTTAAAAAAAAAAAACCGCTGACTTTGAGACAAGAGAACCGGGAGTGCTGAAATGCTGACTCATATCCTGGTGTTAGGACTCAGTTATTCACCACTCTGTAGAAATAAACTTGCTATTGCTATTGCTAAGCCTAATGTTGACTTGCACATAAGAAAGTCAGCTCCTCACAGTGAAGCATACAGTACAGGTTATTAACTAACACTGGCCTTGGATCAGTACTTAGTATCGGCAGATGCCCAAAGCCCATTGGGACTGAAAAAGTCAGCTCAGGGTGCATTACGACCGTGTTCACATGAGATCCGTTTGTGTGTTCCAGATCAGTGTGCTCAAAGCTGATAATGAGGAAGACAAGAGAGGCAAAGAGGAAATCCTTCCTAGTGATAAAGGTAAGATGAAATATTCGTTCAAATAAACACAAGAAGTTTGTGCTCTAGATAAAGGATCAGCGCTCAGTTAATAACCTCCTAAGCCCTATGATAAGCTATTATGGCAAGGCTTAACTATACAAACCAATGAGCAGTGATAACTAACACGTCTTTGGGGTCATCAGGTGGGAACCTCCTTTCACCAGTGTTTTGTCTAGTTGGTCCCTCGACACCTCCAGGAGGCTAGACAGTGATCTCTGGCGTCCCAGAGACACTCCCCTACACTCCCCTAATGCTAGCTCCCCGCGCCGACCCTCAGCCTCCTTTACCTTTCTTACACATGGCTTTCTCAGCCCAAACAGCACTGCTACCTTCAACAAACCCAGGTGCCAGTGCTGTTTGGGCTGAGAAAGCCATGTGTAAGGTAAAGGGTTAGGGTTAGGGTTAAGGTTTATTAAACTGGACATTTATTTGCATCTCACAATGAGATCTGGTTATCAGGGACTCAAGAGATGTATCACCATTATCCACCTGCATGAAAAAGTAGTCAAAGTGCAACACTACATGAATTTCTGAGTAGAATGACTGATTTTTGGAATAAAAAGTCCTTGAATCAGCACCCGATTACACTAATTTTAAGTAAGGACTTGTAATCAGTTGTAATCAAGTGTGTGTGTTTACCCGTGACAATTCTACATGAGACACACCTCAATCCAAACCCCTTTGTTCTCTGCGTTCTCCTAAATGTGCCACACACTAGCTGTCACATGGATGCATCAGCTGTGTAACATGAGCTCTAAAAAACAAACGTCACACACAGAGCCAGACACGCCCACACACAATTACATGAGACTCACAGATGTAGTTGTGTCTAGTGCTGTAATTTTTAGTCGATTAATTAATTTCCGTGTTTTATGACATCATTGATTAAATATGTTTGGATTGTTTTTGCACTGTTGGAGATGTAACCTGTGGCTCTGGGAAATTATGATGGCCATTTTTACTCTTTTCTTGCATTTTGGAGATTTAATGATTATTTAATTAAAAAATAATCATTAGTTTTGTCTTCACAGTAGTCTCTGCTTGCACAGACAGCTCTTATTTGCTGTCTGTCTGTGTACAGGCAGCATGCGAGTACAGAAACTTGCAAAACGTGCAAAACGAACCGCCACAGATTCAGTTGAGCAAACATTTGTATGGTCAGACATCCATCACTTCCAACCTAAAGAGACTAAGAAAACACTTCCAGCAGAGACCATGAAAGGCACCTTCTCCTTTACACATGTGTTTGCTCTTCCTCAGAGGGTACAGAGAAAACTTAGGGGCCAGATTGTTTTTGTCCCTGAGGTGATGTGCTCAGGCTGGCATGCAGGCACACACAGTAGGAGACCCTTGCAGATTGTCCGTGCTGCGACTTCCTGTTTTGTTTTCTGTCCGTCTCGCTCACACACACACACACACACACACACACACATTTTGTTGCTCTCACTCAACCGTTGGCCACTGTTTTTGGTAACCATAGAGATGGCACATGGCACTATCGACTCATAATGGGAAGCAGGAAGTGTTCCTCAGTATTGACCTTAACCCTGTCCTGACTTCAGCAGCTGTCCATTAATCCTCTCAAAATAACAACCCAACAGTAGGGAGCATGTGCTCTTCCTCTGGACCTGCTGCTTCACACGAGCACAACATCTCTTTGGTTTGTTTTCCATTCCTGGATAGCAGAGTAACATCCAGAGGGGCTGATGTCGTGCCGCCTGCACAGCGCTTGTTGGGAAGGGATGTGTTAGTGTGTCATGTGTCAACTTCTGGCTAAATATATTTATTTTTTGCACAGGTGTTTGCAAGGAGCAGCGAGTAGAAGAGCATGTGCTGGTGGACAATGTGAGTATACAGGCAGATTTACATGGGACAGAGGTGCGCTGTGTGCTGTAAACGTTTATAGATTTGCTCTCTTAAGTTTGTTACTGGTTCTTGCATGAAACTGTGATTGTATCTGTCTTATTTTCAGATAAACAGTACTTGAATTTTTCCTAAGAGCTGCACTGTCTCTGTGTGATTTTTGGTTTGTTTAAAGGTTTTTGAAGAACAGCTTGTTCTTTCTTTGGATGATGACGACGATGAAGGAGAGTACCCATCCTCATTATCTGGTAATTGTTCTTTGCTGTTCTTTGTTGATTAATCCACCTCGAGGATTTAAGATAATTGAGAGATTTCTTTGGCAAACACAAAATAAACTTATTCAAACCAAAACACAGTTTCCATTTTAATGTTATGGCTATAATACTCTGGCATCTGGTTTCAATTGCTCAGTAGCAGAGTTATGTCCAGAGGACCTTCCTGAGAGGAGGGTGTGAGTGTGTCATGGATCAACCTCTGGTTAAATATTTTTATTTTGCACAAGCATTAGAAAGGAGTTCCATGTGGCTTAAATAATGAATGGGTAATTCATAACAAAAACACAACAACATATTTGTGGCTGTACTGAACAGCAGGGTGTGGGAACGATGCATAATAAGCTGACTGAGAAGCCCTGACTGGAAGCCTTTCTCTCATGGCGCTGGTACAATACACAGAGCTCTGTTTTGAATCACATCATAGGAAATCAATACACTAACTGCTGCACAGACACAGACAGGGATTTACTTCTGTCTGACGCTGATGAGCAGTTTTCTTTGATTAAACTGATGTATTATCCTGCTGGAGTCTGGCTTCAGGCAGTGCAGGTTGGGTCTTCCACAATGACTCAGTCTGAGAGTCCAGGAATCTGCCCTGTCATTGGGACAAAGGCAGGAATGGGGTCAGGCGTGCATGCCCCACTCAAACTCTGTCTGAGTTGGGAGATGCCCCCCCCTCTGGCCTGTCGCCCTGCCATCCCCTCCCCCGACTCCCCTGGATGGGACAGTGGAGCTCTGTATCGAATTGAGACGGGAATGTTAACAAGCTCAAATATCGTAGGTTTTACAAAAGCTGACATTTTAGGTGAGCCGCATACATTAACCTTGGATTATCTTTAAACACGCGCGTGCAGACAAGGTTGTATAAGCTGCGCTAGTGCAAACACTCACTGGCTAGTGAAAACTTTGAGAAGAATGCTTAGATATTTCAGGTGTTGCCACGGTTACTGTGAATGCTAATTTCCTGTGTGTTGTTGTGGAAGAATGAAGAGTTTGTTGTAAACTCTAGAGAGCCCATAAACTTTGTGACCATAAACTGAAGTGTGTGTGTGAGTGTGTGTTTATGATGTGAAGTGGTGACAGGGAGCATTGATCCCAATGTTTCCCCCCGAAGCAGGACTGCAGATTCTTCTGTGTTGCTCAAGTCATCAAATTTACTGTTGAGCTGAATATTTTTGTTGTTGATGACAGCGCCTCGAGGTCGCTGTGGTGCAAAGTTGTCATCCAGAATTATTGTTTTTTTCCAGATCTGTTGAAATGATCATAAGGGTTTCTTTGCTTTCACTGACATAACTCACCACTGTCAGTTGTTGTTGGAGTGAGCTGGTGTGACAATTAGTCTACCAGCTGAGACCGGTGTTCCGTCAATCTGTCACCATCCTTAAAATAAAAAAAAGAGTAGATTGTAGTGTCTGTGTGTAAATCTGTATACACACTAATAGTTTGATTTCAAGCAGAAAGACATAAAGAAAATAGAGAATACAGTGAATGTATATAAGAGGTCTGCCTTATATGTTTGAACTCCATGCTGCTGTCTTCACTGTGGGAGAGCAGCAGAGAGGAAATGCCTCTGTGATGCCCAGGATTTCCCTCACATTAGTGCAGGCATGGCTGGTCCAGACTTCAAAGTGTGGGTGGAAAGTGCACAGAGAGCTATGAAAATGGCTTCTCATCAAGAGAGGTAATTTTCCACATTGTTGTGGTAGAAATACCATTCACCGCTTTTGTACTCATGTCAGCAGTGGTACATAACAGTACACATTTGCTTTATTCTTCTTACATTATGGAGGTGCTTTAACTTTACTTGATGCTACTTTGTACATCTACTTCACTGCTTTACAGACAGAAATAATGTACTTTTTACTTCATATATACATTTGATAGCTTTAGTTACAGATTAAGATTTATATACAAAACATATAATCATCTACGGTGTATTATTTAAAGGGACGGTTCACAAAAAAAATCAAAAGTACATATTTTTCTCCCTCCCTGTAGTGCTAGTTATTAATCTAGATTGTTTTGGTGTGAGTTCCTGAGTGTTGGCAATATTGGCCATAGAAATGTTTCCCTTCTCTCTAGTATAATGGAACTAGATGGCACTTGGTTTTTGATGCTCAAAGTGCCAAAAAATACACTTGAAAAACTCAATAGCAATGTCTCTTTTCGGAAATCATGACCAGTTACTGAAGATAATCCACATACCTTGTTGTGAGCAATTTCATGTATGTCAGTTTCAAGTCACCTTCCAACCGTATCACTGCAGAGAAGGAAGCATGCATTTGCTGCTAGCTCACCAAGCACCACTGAACTAGCTAATGTTAAGCCGAAGAGGGCGCCATTAATGTTGACATCTCATTGGCACAAACACAACCTGTCATCCAGAAGTAGATGAGCTGTGGATTTAAGTGCCATCTAGTTCTTTTATATTAGAAAGAGGGCAGATATCTCTATGGCCGATATCTCCAACACTCTGCAACTCTCACCAAAACAATCTAGACTGATATATAGCACTACAGGGTAAAAAAAACATGTATTCTTGATTTTGGAGTGAACTGTCCCTTTAAAATACCCAACACTAGATAAAATGTTGAAATGTTAATGCATAAGTAATCATGTCAAAAAACTTATATATTAAATAATACATTTAATGAAAACTTCTGTCACTCTATATCAATACAAATTTTTCAGATTTCTCAATAATTAATGAAGTAGTAACAAGACAAAGAGTTTAAAGGATGCTAGTAGATCTGTGAGGCTGTACTTGGGCACAGCAGTGATTTGAGCTGAGCTAGATGCTAACATCAGCATGCTAACATGCCCACAATGACAATGCTGACATACTGATGTTTAGCACGTCTGCTGTTTATCATGTTCACCACCTAAGTTTAGCATATTAGCATGCTAACATTAGTTAGCATGGCGGCACGGTGGTGTAGTGGTTATCACTGTCAATTCACAGCAAGAGGGTTCCTGGTTCAGTCCCAGGAGGGAGCCCTTCTGTGCGGAGTTTGCATGTTCTCCCCGTGTCTGCGTGGGTTTTCTCCAGGTACTGCGGCTTCCTCACACAGTGCAAAGACATGCAGGTTAATTGGTGACTCTAAATCGTCTGTAGGTGTGAATGTGAGTGTGAATGGTTGTTTGTCTCTATGTGTCAGACCTGCGATAGTCTGGCGTCCTGTCCAGGGTGTACCCTGCCTCTCACCCAATGTCAGCTGGGATAGGCTGCAGCCCCCCCTGCGACCCTCAAGAGGATAAGCGGTTACGAAAATGCATATATGGATGGATGAACATTAGTTAGCGCTACAACAGAAAGTACAGTTGAAGCTAATGGGATTGTCATTGTTTTGCAGCAATTTGTTCATATTTTAATGACCTTTGATTTGATGATGGAGCTACTGTATGCATGCCACCCATAGAGTTTCACTTCCAGTGTGTGGCTAAAAGTAAAGAAGATTCTGGATCAAGTAGCATTCCATAATAATAATAAATGCTGGCTGTAAAGAGTTAAAAACTAACCCAGGTGTTAAAATCGTGGTCTTTTTATTCTATTTATGAGCATCACAAAGAGAGGGTGTACATGAATATTACTGAGCAGATGTGGTAAATAAAAGAGAGCATGACTCAAGTCAATAATCCAGTTTTGTTCCGAGAAAGGAGACAGCCTGCTGGTAAGGTTGATATGTGGATTTTTCTGTGAAAACAAACCTTTAAAGGTCAAACAGGGAGTAGGTATGCAGTGTCTCATCACATTTTCCTTTCTTCCCTCTAAGCCTTGACATTTAAATGATGAAAGATCAATAAATTATAGCAAAATGATCCCAAATCAGTAGGAGGAGGCAGGACAGAAGGCTTACTGAAGTAAATAAGACTTAACAGTCCAATATTATGTTTGGTAATTTATTTTCTCTGCTCTGGCATATCTGCTTGTTGTTGACATGTACATGATTGTTGATGTGTTTTGGTTGTGTGGTTAGGATATCTGGTTAACTCACGCTACTCTTAGAGCTGCTCTCTGTATTCAACAGGACATTTAAATCATTCAGCAGGATAAAAACAAATTCCTAGTAGACATCTTGTACAGTACAATATGCTCCTGTAGAGCAGTTTATCTTTACTGGGAAAAGGGAGGGAGACAAGTAGTCTGTTTGAATTATTGTAAACTATACTGAAGCTATCCTGAGATTGTTCTTTGTTTATTACAGTAAATGGGCATCCCATTCAGTCCAGTGGAGAGGAGAGCAGGTTCACCCAGCGTGCTGCAGACCCTCTGCCCTCTGTGATCAACAGCAGTGATCAGACCATCACACAGTGGACTCAGGTCATACATCAACCCCCCTTCTTTAAGCCCACATTCATCATTTTATCTTTTGTGTTTTGCTGCTTTTTTAATACATTGCTTCTTTTTTTTTCTTTTTTGCACTTTTTTCTCCCGTGTTTTTTACCATAGGAAGAAGATACAGATATCAAGTGCAGCGTCAGTGGAGTGACCACGGACAGCACGGGGACAGACAGTGGGTTATGGGACACAGTGGACTCAGAAGATCTCCTGCTGGCCACTGACACTCCTCCACCCTATTCAGAAGATTCCTACCCTCCCTCTCTACCCTGCTCTCCCCCACTCTCCCCCCCTGACCAGGCCCTCGCTAGGCTGAACCGTCCCCTCTCCTCCGAGCCGACCAATCAGAGCGAAAGTCCACCAATGGACACCTGCGACCTCAGGTATTAAACATCGTAGAAATATTTCTTCAGTAGGCAGTGTTTTCAGGTGACTCTATGTGTAACTGGCCTTTTATTGCTCCAGTCCCAGTCTAGTGGCTCTGGAAGTAGACAGTGAAGAGGACAGTATCGAGCCAAAGTCTCCACTCTCTCCGCTCTCGTCAGATGTTGAGAAAAGTGAAGACAAAAGGGAAAGCTTCCGTCCCTCCCCTGACCTCACATGCACTCGCAGCCAGTCTGCCTCCTCAGCATGTGAACCCACCATAAAAGTAAAACAACATCTCAGGCTCTTGCACACACTCAGCAGATTTTTCCGCTTCTCCTAATATCATGAGTTTGAAGTCTTATGTCTTTGTTTTCAGTTATTATTATTTTCCTTTTCTAGGAACTGGGGGACCAGGGGATTCGACTGCGTTCATATTCTTACTCCTCCCCCAAAATCAGCTTGCGGCCTGCTCGTTTTGCCCGGGACAACCACACGTCAGACATCAGTCCTGGTCAGTAACACCAGGACAGTTTATTCTGTCACATAGTTAGAGATGTAGTCTAACACTTAACTAACAAAGTTTTCATTAACTAACCTCACTTGTTTGGTGCGTCACTAATGGTTGGTGCAAGAGCTCACTTTTTATGTTCTGTTCATTTTAAACCAGCTGTCAACTGTAGATGGTCTCACTACTGATATAAAGTGCAGTCAACTCCCCAAAATGAATGAGCTTGGTGTGAATTGCTATGTGTTGGAAATACTGGCCATAGAGATGTTTGCCTTGTCTCAAATACAATCTGCTTGTGCCTGTGACAGCGCATGATTTAAACATTATTGGCGTTCTCCTTGGCTGAGCAATGTTAGCTAGCTCAGTGGTGCTAGGTGAGCTAATAGTATGCACCCTTCCTTCTGCACAGTGATATGGTAAGCAGGTGAAGTTCAGTAGAAAGAAAATAGTTCCAACATGAAACTGCTCACAACAAGGTCTGTGAAATATCTTGAGCAGCAGGGTCATGACTTCTGGAAAGAGATACTGCTGTTGAATTTTTTTAATGTACTTTTTTGGCACTTTGAGCACCACAGGCTGAGTGCCATCTAGTTCCATTATACTGGAAAGAAGGCAGACATCTCCATGACTGATATCTCTAACACTCGGTAACTCACACTAAAACAGTTTAGGCTGATAAGAAGCTCTACAGGTAAGAGGAAAAATTGTGTATTTTTGTTTTTGGGGTGAACTGTCCCTTTAAAACAAAGTTTTCAATGTTGGGAAACACGCCTATATGTATTCTTGCCAAGAATTAGATGAGAGGATCAATACATCTCTGTCATTTGTCTGTTAGATATGAAGCTGCAGTAGGATGGTTGGCTCATCTTAGCATAAAGAGTGGAAACAGGGGGGAACAGCTAACCTGGCTGTATTCAGAGATAACAAAATCCACCTTTGAGCACCTCTGAAGCACACTAATTAACATGTTATATTTTGTTAAATTATACAAAAAAAACAAACACCAAGGCTAGTTTGGAGCCACAAAAACAATACCTGACAGACATGAGACTCTTGGTAACAAAGCAAATAAGAATATTTTTCAAAATGTCAAACTATTCCTTTAACAGTTTTCAGACAATGATTGTAGTTATATTCACAATAAGCCGACAACACTGCAATGAATAATGCTTTAAGAACTCTCAGTCTGGAGTTGACTGTACTTGGTGACAGTTTGCACCCTCTATAGTTGATGTGTGAGCAGCCTTCTGTCCACTGTGCCCTGTAGATGCCGTGCTCCACAGTGTCAGCCACAGCCGATCTCTCCTTCAGGCCCTCTCTCTGTCTAAATCTCTGTCTCTTCTCCACCCTGGTAGTAAGTACTGGACACCTGCAACCGTCACACTGCGCTAAGGCTGAGCATAGCCAGCATGCCGCTGTCAGTGCCAGTGCTTATATGTGTGGGTCTGTGAGTGTAAATGTGTGTGTGCATGTGTGTGTGTGAGTGCGGGAGTCAAGGTTATTGACGGTTATTTTACAGTGATTGATCTGCTGAAAAATAAAAGGTTAAAACATCTGACTTGATTCAGAGATACAAAAATGATTTTAGAGCAGCTATAATCAATACTTTTATATCAACAATGGATCACATGACTAACCCACAGAGAATTCCACTGACACTGCAGTTCCCCTCAGCTCTACAGAGCTTTGAAGCACATTTAAGCTCATTGTTTTGGTTTTGTGCCCTAGACTTTTACTTCTTTGGTTCATTCAGCCAAATATCAATGCAATGCAATAACAGCCCTCAACAGCAGAGGAATTACAGTGCTTTGATCATGACTTGCTGCTGGTCCTTTTCTTTTCTTTTAAGTGTCAATGTTTTGTACATGTACCTTTTTTGCGTGTTTTTTTAGATCCTGTTGGATGTGTTTTAAATGTCTTCTGTGTGTGTGTACACCTGGTGTTGAGCCCTGTCGAAGACAAATTTTCTGTTGCCTTTTGGTTCCAGACAATAAAGTTTTCTATTATTCTATTATTATTCTATTATATTTTCTTCTGGGGTTAGTGGAGACAGAAGCAAAGGTAAAAATGAGAGTGAATATTGGACTTTGATTCATCGAGTGGCCAAAAATATGTCTCCTAATGTTGCTCTGTATCTGCCTTAATGTGTAAGTAAGCAATAAGTAATAAGCAGGCTCACCATTTCAATTTGATAATATGTCACTGTTGTGTTAACAGCATGTTTCAGCTGCTCCCAAGCGACTACAAGTTATTTTTGCGTTTTTAAAAATGACAGTACATGTGAACTTAAACTGGTTTAAATATCATTTCCATCTTAGAAACATGATTAGGAAGTTTTGGTTTTATCCTGTGTGTACAGAGCAGGATTTTCTATCATGACTGCCAGTTGTTATCTTATTTTAGGGCTATTATCCAACATTATTTGAAAATACAAATGGTGTTCCCTGGTGAACATGAAATGAAAATTTGACTCCAACTGCTGTAATCATCTTAAATATAAAATCTGTGACTATTTATGTGTCATAGAGCTTATAGTGAAATAAAAACTGTAGAAAATTAACTACAAGTAAAAACAAGTTTGATTAGAGAGGGGAATTAAAACAATAATTTAAGTAAAAACTAAATTAGAATCATAGAACTGTAATTGTAACTGTAATTGGAACTGTAATAACCTTGGAGTGTGTTTGCCTGCGTGTGTGTGCGCGTGTGGCTTTCCTAATCATAACGCAGCCGTATTGTAATCAGAATGGCAGTGGGAGTGCAAGAAGTAATCGCATTTGCAGTGATGAAATGAAAAGACAGCTGATTGCCTTGGAGCCTGGTGAGAGATATGAGGTGTCTCTGAGGGGTCAGCACTTTGTGTCTGTCTGTGCTACAGCTTTCATATGTATTGTTCTGTCTTGGTGAAGTGCTTGTGGATCATCTGTTACTTTGCATAACAATTGTGATTTTATTGAGATGCTTTTATACAAGCAGCTCCTCTGGCATGTAAATGAAACATGACAGGCTTTATCAAATGTTCACTCTGTAACAGTAGGAAGTTAGAAGAAAGCTTACTAATTCTGTTCCTCCAGTCATATTGAATGTTGTGTATTCTGCTGCCTGACTTTATCTCAGAGGGGGGGTCATCTCTTGATTCTTTTAATGGAGTTTTGGTGCAACATGTGAGTTTTCTGTTATTTAAACGTGTTGTCAGGTTAGATTAACAACATTTTCATGTCTTTATCTCCACAGAGCAAAGAGCCTCCAGTATATCAGAGCAGTCACATGAAAAAAGGTAATTATATTTACTTTTAATTTACTTAATGTCATATTAAAGCTGGAGTAGGCAGGTGTCTGATAAAGTATTAAAATTAAAAGAACAGCAGAATTTGAAAATACACCCTCCTCCCGCAGCTCTGTTTATTGTCTTAAGCGCTTCCCACTAGACAACCACAGGCATATGCATACGCTTCACACAGTAACCCAGTGTTTCCTATACATCTTATTTCATTGTAGAGCTGCGTGCAGTGCATTCGCTCAGCTCATCCTCGCCCACACTCTCTCTCCCTCTTTGTTTATCTGACCACAAATGAGACAAGAATTAGCTAGCTAGCCACCCGCCTCACTCCCTGCTGCTGTGGACTGCTTCGCTGTGAGGAGAGCAGGTAGCAGCTCGGAGAGCAGGTAGCAGCTCGGTGACAGACCTTCGGTCAGAGGCTGTAACGGCTCAAATTTGGCCAGCCCAAACTCCACAGCGCCAGGTGTCAAAGTGGACTGGTGGCCAGGAGCAGCACCAGATCTAATTTCTGTAAGGGCAGCAACAGAAAGTTTAATGATCCAGTGGGGAGTTGCAGCCGTCTGGTCCCCTTGGAGCTGGGGTTTAAGCTGGCTGGATGCGTGTTGCTGCAGCTGCTGCAGGGTTCTATCTCCAGAGCTGCTGCCCGCTCTCCTCCCAGTGAGATGGTTTGTAGCGACAGAGAGTGAGGTGGAGGACACACTGATTTGAGGCTCTAGCTTACGTTAGTTTCATACACGTGAACTTGAAGCTGAAGCCATAAGCCTTTGGCTCCAGCTAGCAAAAGGCTAAACTATTAGCAACATTTTTTCATGATTTCTGAAAAGCTTTGCCGATGTTGACACGTGTTTTATTTTGTTTATTGTCAAACTCCATTTTAAAGTCATGTTGATAAGTCCATCTGGCTTTTTTGGGTTGCTTTGCAGTGTAGGCAGTCATTCTCTGCCATTGAATCAGGCTTTTACTGAAGGGACATGCACATACATCTACATTTGTAGTACAGTCAATAGGAACTTACTTCTCTGAAATGACCTGTGATTGGCCAAAGTCTCCAGTTACAGTCTAGATTTTCTAAAGCCTAAAAAACAGAGCCAAGAGGAGGCACAGAAGTTGTTGTTTTTTTCAGTCCACTTTAATTACAATATGCTAAAAGGTTATTATGATATTTTGCCCAATGATGCTAAAATTAAACTGCCTACCTCAGCTTTAAGTCTTTTTTGGATTACATTGTATTCCAGATACCTCTCTTTTCTGTCTGTTAAATTTTAGTGTTCCTCTGTCCTCTCACATTGGCCTCACTCATAGGGGCTTTTGCTCTTCATTAAAATGACAGTACGTTTCATCAAATATGTAATCCTCAGCGCCAGGAGCAACATATGTGGGTAACCGTGACAACCAGGTTGCTTGGTGACAGCGAGCACTCTGTGAAGTTTGCTGCCGTCTTTTATGAAGCTCTTTTGTCCTTGTCAAGCAGAGCTGGTGTTTTGATCCTGTCTGGGTTTTTTTTTCTAGTGACAACAGAGGTAGTGACGTACAGATATCAGTGTGACCCTGAGCTTCTTTCAACTGTGTCTTCTTGCCCCAGATACGACAAGCTGCATCATAGATATAAGTTACAATGCATAAGGAATGCACTGTGTTTTAAAATGCACAGTATAAACGGTACTAAATGATGACAAGTCTACAGTGCTACTTTATGTGGTCTGTGCCTGCTCTAAGAGGGGTGGCGCTGATTATAAAAAGGACATCCTTTCCTCTTCCTGTTCCACTCGTCCTATTTTCACTGCCAATGCTAACTGATATTTCCCCTTCCTCTTCATGGATAAATACCCTAATTGAACTGCCAACATCTCAGTAGCTCCCCCCAGTGGAAGATACTAGACATAATCAGGGCTAAAAGATGGTATCAAAGGCTTTAGCAACCATATTTTTCTTTACTATGTAATTGTGGCATGTCTCCTTGGCCTTTGTGGCCTCTCATTAGTATTAAAATATCAGTGTGTGTCCGTGTGTGTGCGCTGTTCCTTACAGGGAGATTAAGTTCCGTAAGAGAGCCCAGTCTGCTGAAGATGAGAGCAGCATGGAGCTGGCAGAGTCCCTCCAACACCTCACTCTGTCTGAGTTCCTCAAAGAGTATGTGGGCGGGTCGACCCCTGTTTGACTGTTCTAGCACCCTTTAACCATCCACTTAAAGTAAACTAACCCTTACCAAAACGTATAGCATGTATGGACCAACTGACAGCAAACCACAGCCTCCTCACCTCCCCTCTCCTTGTTTCTTCTTCCCTCCCGTTTCATCTCCTCTCCTTGTTTCCTCACGTCTCTTGTCTTCTCATCCGCTCTTCTTGTTTCCGAACATCAACACTTTGTCCCTCGTTTCCTTCCTCTCCGTGCTCCTAGAAATATAGTTAAGTTGTTGTTGTCTTTTAACAATATGCACCCAAAGTCTGTCATGTTGCATGTATCCAGTCCTAACAATTGTACTAATTTAAATTTACTTTCACAGCTCAGAGTTGCAGAGAATGAACACATTTTTTTCCAGATTTTAGTGATTAACAAAGGTTTGTCATTTCATGGCAGGACATTGCAGTGTGAACTAACCACAAACCCATGTCATGAGCCAGTTATGTGCTTGTGTGCCATAATAAGCATATAAGAATTTACAGCTGAACATTTCACACTTACACAGACTCTCCACCTGCACCTACACTAATCCATCATACTTGCTTTTGTTGTCCTGTAGACTCAGCAAGAAGAAAGGATGGCGTTACTTTACCGGCTAACACATCTGCAAACAACAATGATTTTCTTTGTTTGAATTAAAGAACACAAATTCAAGAAAAATAATTGCACTGACATTATTTTCATTTTTCTTCAGAATTGAAGAGGAGGAGTTGGATAAGTACAACATCCCTACAAAGGTGGAGTCAGAGAAGTACAAAGTCATCCGCACCTTCAGTTTTCTCAAGAGCAGGATGTCCAGTACACGCAACAAGACCAAGGTAAATGCAGACTATAAACAGTCCACACCTCTGCTGTTACACACATCAGAAATTATTACTAGAATAACAACTGAACAAAGCCTACAAGCCAGCTAAACATGCTACAATCCACTCTCATCCTTGTTGATAACTTAAAGGGACAGTTCACTCCAAAATCAAAAATGCAAGTTTTTCTTCTCACCTTTATTGCAGTTTATCAGTCTGGATTGTTTTAGTGTGAGTTGTCGAGTGTTGGAGATATCAGCTGTAAAGATGTCTGTGTTCTCTCCAGTATAACAGAACAAGATAGGTCTCAGCCTATGGTGCTCAAAGCGCTGAAAATATATATTTGGAAAAACTCAACAACACTGTCTCTTTCCAGAAATCATGACCCTGTTACTCAAGATTATCCACAGACCTTGTTGTGAGCAATTTCATGTAGAAACTATTTTCTTTATACTGAACTACACCCACTGAACACGCGACAACTCACACCAAAACAATATAGATTGATAAATAGCACTACAGGTAAAAGAAAAATAATATGTATTTTTGATTTTGGGGTGAACTGTCCCTTTAAAAATACAAATGATGTTTCCACTAAAGTGTGTGATCAATAGCTGCAGGTGTATGTACTGCCTGATGACATTATTTATTCTGACAGAGGTATGTGTGGAATTGAATTAAAATACTTAAGCGAAGGCCAGTATCCCAGGTCTAGACCTAGGTGTGGAATATGTAACTCTGTGGGAGACAACCAGGAAATGTTTCTGGGAATAACTCAAGGTCAGAGTGACAGACCAAACAGGGTGTCCAGCCTCTTTCCTTTTAATGATTAATCCCCTGTTGTTGAGTCAGCACAGAGACTGGAAGCCCTCCCCGACCTGCATCTGTTGTTTATGCTAAGCTCCATTTCCTTGTCGGCTGACTTTCTTACGGTTTGGAAACAAGGCGGGGACTCCTGCCAGGCTCATTTATCTACATACATGTGGAAGAGATTACTCTGCAAATTGACGCTCACCCTGGTTTTTAGAAATATCAATTGAAGCCTGCTTGGCTCAAAGGTTTTAGCTGTGGCTGTCACGTTTTGTCTCTGCATGGAGTCTTTGTTTACTCTCATGTCTCCGGCATGGTTCTCCAAGGGGAAGGGGAAGGACAGAGAGGCCAAGGATAGGCAGCTGAATGGACATCGGTTTAACACAGGGTCCTGTTTGGGCCCCACCGTATGTGTGGTGTGTGAGAAACCAGCATCTGGAAAGGACCTGCTGCATTGTGCCAGTAAGTAATGGCGTAATTCCAAGAAGTGTGCATATATTTTTTGCAAAAAATTGACATAAATGAACTTAAAAATATCTTTCTTTCCCAGGTTGCACTACTATTGTCCATAAGGGCTGTAAGGAATCTGTCCCCCCATGTTTGAAGGTGTGCATTGTCTTGAAATAATAGAATAACAAATTTGTTTAAACTACTCCTCTCCACTGGATCCTGTCCTTGTGTCAATTGTTTATGTGCTGTAACCAGCCTCTGTCATTTGTATTACTTAGAAACTTCAAGATAAGTATGCTGTTACCATGGTGAAGAATAGGACAGCATCCCTCCCACAGAGTGAGTTTACAACACAAGGGTCGACTGTCACCAACAATTTTGCTGTCACATTTCCTGCTTGTAGCGTTTTGCCGTGGTTGCACTGCGGATGATTGTTGTTAATTCTCTTTGCTTTTCCCACAGACTTCACAGTGAGAGACAGTCCTACTCAGTGTGTGATCCCCATCTCTAACTCTCTACCTCTTATGAAAGACACTGCGATCCCGCCGTGCCCCCTTTCTGGGACTTTCCCAAACAGTGAGAGGTCATAAAGCCTTATGAATTTCATCATATGAAGATCTGATGTTGTTAAAAAAAATGTAGGTAATAATGGTTGTCTGTGTTCTCTGTGTAACAGTCGGCTCAGTGAGAGTCCAGAGGCAGAGTCTGATGCCTGGAAGGTTACCAGTCGATCAGAAGAGCTCCTGCTGACTCCAATGTTGTCAACCTCCACTGAATCATCCTTCGTAGAAGGTGAGAGATAATAAAGAATTGTTATTTTTAGTTCTTACAGATTTCCAAATACCTATAAAGTAGCAGATAGGTTCCAGTTTTTACTTGAAATGTATGTCCTTGGCACACAAATGTTGTTGTGTTTCCTGCTGGAAATAGTTTAAAAACAAAGTGGCTGCGTCTAAAATGGTTATTTTAAAAATGCCATTTTCATGCAGATTGTGTTACAGTTTTTTAAAGTCAGGTTTTCATCCATTTTTTTTTTAATTCTAAAATTATTTTTTAAATTAAAAGCAAGCACTTTTTTTTTGAGAAAGATACTGGCATACTAATACACACATACAAATTTGTGTTTCTTGATCCGCAAACAAAAACAAGGTTGACAAATATGTATCATGATTTGTGAATAATTTAGAATGTTAGGAATGTGAGCCATTAGATACAAAAATATTGTAAATGTTGTAAATAAAAATATGTAACTAATTATTGTCTAATCAAATGGGGAAAAACTTTTGTATGTGTTAAGAAAAATGTCTTTCCAACTTTGAAATTTACATTAATGCATTAAAAAAAAACTTAGACTGTGAAAAAATGGTAATAATAATTTCACAGCAGGTAAATAAATGCAGGTAAATATATTTATAATATATAATAATCAGAGTTGGATTGTTGTATGCCTGTCTCTTTCCAGTAAATATTGTGAACAGTGGTAAATAAAACAGAATCCTGGCAGTTCAGATTAAAAGTGATTTTGTATCTCATCTGTCTGTAGACTGCGTGGATGGGTGTATCCACAGTGACATCTCGGCTGATGCTGTGGATTACGAGGCTGAGTCGTGGAGTCTTTCTGTGGAGCACAAGTTCTGCAAGAAGCAGGACAAACGAGCTGTCAAGAGGCAGGATGTAATCTACGGTAAGCAGATGTTAGAGTTGTGAAAGAAAACCACTGGAATGTGTCATTTTCTGCCAGTGTCAGTATTTCATATAAAATTGCTGTAATCATACGTAATTGTTTAATATAATTGAGTAATTATATTAAACAATTACGTATGATTGTTTAATATAATTGTGTAATTCTGGCATTTCTGGCACAATATAATACATGTTTTTATGTGACAAACACATTGAATGTCTACATGTGAACCACAGAGCTGATGCAGACCGAGCTTCACCACCTACAGACGCTGCACATCATGGCCGAGGTTTTCCGGCGAGGCATGAAGGAGGAAGTGCAGTTAGATACAGACGCGGTGGAGCGGGTCTTCCCCTGTCTGGACCAGCTGCTGGTCTTTCACCACACCTTCTTTGCTGCCATGAAGGAGCGGCGACTCAGCTCAGCTCAACCCAAGGGACACAGGAACTACCTCATCCAGCGAATAGGAGACATCTTGCTCCAACAGGTAGCTGGTCCTCTGGAGCTACGTTTTCTTTTTGGTGTAATAGATGGAAACTGTTGAAGGTTTGAATCACTGGGTTTGTTTATTTCTCTGCAGTTTTCAGATGAGAACAGCGAGAAAATGAAGCAGGTGTATGGAGACTTCTGCAGTCGGCACAACGAAGCAGTCAGCTTTTTCAAAGACCTCCAGCAGCATAACAAGAGATTCCAGAACTTTATTAAGGTACTTAAAGTGATAGTTCACCCCAAAATCAAAAATACATGTTTTTCCTTTACCTGTAGTGCTATTTATTGATCTAGATCCTTAGAGTGTTGGAGATATCGGCCATACAGAGGTACAGTTAGTGTTAAAGTGAATAAGCCAGCTTGAGCAGGTGGGTTTTGAGATGGGATGTGTAGGATGTTATGCTGTCGGATTGTCGGATGTGTGGTGATAGGGAGTTTCAGAACCTGTGGGCAGTGCAGCTGAAAGCCCTGGCACCCATGGTGCTGAGGTGTGAGGTGGGAATGGTCAGGAGAACAGCAGAGAAGCCAGAAAATAGTACCTGCATCACACTGCTAACAACATGGTTTAATTAACAGCACTTTAAGAGGAAAAATATGTATTTTTGATTTTGGGGTGAACTGTCCCTTTAACCATCCCAGAATATATGTAACTTATGTTCAAATAATTTTAGAATAAAAGCACCACTACTGCTCTGCTCAGGGAGATGTAGTAAAACTCTTGATGTTGTTGTTGTAAGCTACTGCCATTACCATCTATCCTGCATCTCTCTCTGTCTCATTGTGTCATACGGTTTACTGTTAATTTATCACGTGGATCTGTTCTGTACGACATCTATTGCTCGTCTGTCCATCCTGGAAGAGGGATCCCTCCTCAGTTGCTCTTCCTGAGGTTTCTACCGTTTTTTCCCTGTTAAAGGTTTTTTTTGCGGAGTTTTTCCTGATCAGCTGTGAGGGTCCTAAGGACAGAGGGATGTCGTATGCTGTAAAGCCCTGTGAGGCAAATTGTGATTTGTGATATTGGGCTTTATAAATAAAATTGATTGATTGATTGATTGATTGATTTTTTTTTAAGCAACAAGGTAATAATTCTTTGGTGAGACGGAGAGAGATCCCAGAGTGCATCTTGCTGGTTACGCAACGGATAACAAAGTACCCAGTGCTGCTGGAGAGGATCCTAAAATACACTCAAGGTCAGTCATCTACTGCCCTCTGCTGGCTACATCATCATATGGTCAGCTACAGCACAATATACAGTGCATCAATTAAGGTAAAACAAGATATCTCAATCATTGTGTATTCCTCCTTGCTGATCCTTTAGAGGAAACAGAGGAGCATGCTGACCTTTCCAAAGCACTGGCTCAGATTCGAGAGGTGATAGCAGCCGTGGACCTGAGCGTCAGTGAGTACGAGCGGCATCAGAGGTTACAGGAAGTGTGGAGCCGCATGGAGAACCGCAGCTCAGCCAAGCTGAAGAACGGCCATACCTTCCGCAAGCAGGACATGATGGGGCCAGGACAGACGCTCAAACACCAGGGCGTGCTTCTGTGGAAGACCGCCACTGGTCGGCTTAAAGGTGAGACTGATGTTTGTTAATCCTAATTGTGCATCCTTTTTACATGCATATAGTATGTACATAATGTAAATTAATGATTCGGCTTGTGACATGTTTTTTCTGCTTATCACTTTCATAGATGTCCTGGCACTCCTTCTCACAGACACACTCATCTTCCTGCAAGAAAAAGACCAGAAGTATACGTTTGCCACTGTGGTACGCACACATTAATCACTTTGATCTCAGAGAGACAAATACCCAGCTGTTATTTTATCTTGGGCCATTATCACATTGTGTTCATGAAACAATATTCCTTCCCAACTTTTAATGTGCATCAGGATCAGAAGCCTCCAGTCATCGCACTGCAGAAGTTAATAGTGCGAGAAGTAGCAAACGAAGAGAGAGGGATGTTTTTGATTAGCGCATCAGCCGCCGGGCCAGAAATGTACGAGGTCCACACATCATCTAAAGAGGAAAGAAACACCTGGATGAGGCTTATTAGAGAGGCTGTAGAGAGGTGTGTAGAAGCCTGTTTTACGTGTGTGTGTGTGTGTCTGTCTGTCTGTCTGTCTGTGTCTGTGTCTGTGTGTGTAAACTGAGAAGGATATTGAGAACTACATATTCAGATTTCCCCATTTGTACAAAGTCTAACTCTCAGTTGTTGTTTTCTCTGCTTAGCTGTCCAGAGGAAGAGGAAGAATACACCAGTGAATCTGAAGAGGAAAAGCGAGCTGCTGAGGCTCGTATCCAGAAGATCCACAAGTTACAAGGTATATGAACCCGGTGGCATCATTTATCTGTTATTTTTGGCTTCGCAGTCTTGCACATTCTTTACCCCCGAGTAAAAGTTTTACAATACTTCATCCATGAACCCCATGACCTTGTGTATCAGAGAGTCTGATGAGCCAGGACCAGCGGATTTGCTCCAGCCTGGAGGAGAAGCTGCAGGTCTACGCAGAGCTCTCTGCTCTGAGTGGGAGGACGGACGCCTCGTTGGTTGAACCCCGACTGCTCATCCAGCCGCACTCTGAGGAGCTGCCCCAGGCTGCCATGTTGCTGGCTGCAGCTTTGAAAGAGGGTGACATATTTTTACATGTACTGTACCCCTGCAGGAACAAACACAGAAATACAGTGCAGCTTTGTTTGTGTTTTGGTTTTTGACAACACAGAACAAAAGGGAGAAAAATATTAAATACACTTTACTTTAACCCCCGTTTTGCATCTACAGACAATATATAAACATATAATACATGCTTTAACTGTAGAGTAATTGTAGGCAGATATGAGGACATTTTAAGTGTTTATTAATGCACAGAACTTGTCAAAAAGTATACCTTCTATTACAGTATGAAGACATATTTAATATTATTGTAACTGTGTTTTACTATATTGCTATTTATTATCTGTTTATACAGTGTTAACTGATGATGTCCACAGGAGGAGTAATAGTTGTGGACAAACACATGCATACAGCACAACTACATTATAATGTGTTATAAACCATTTATTAAATGTTTATGTGCTGCTTATAAATGCTAAATAGGGGGATATTAAGTGCCTAATCAATAAGTAGGCAAAACCAAACATTTTTCTGTTTCATAAAGAAATGCAGACTTTTTGGCAACATTATACTACAGAAACAAGGAACAAGGTAATTACACATGTAACAGGAAACATCTTATAGGCATGTGTATGTGTTCACAGTAGATTATTTCCCCAGTTTTTTATGCATTGTTTGAGTAATTATCTTGAGAAGAAAGTCAGTTTCTCAATACAGTTTATTTAATTGACAATTGCAGTCCAGTCGTTTTTGGTTTGAGGGTGTTTTAAAGAGATATTTATGGAAGAGTTAGTATCTCAAAACCTAATGAGAAACTTAGAATAATGACTTACTTATCTCAAAATGTTGACTTAATATCTCAAAATAATAAAAACACTAAGTCAATATCTTGAGAAAGTTTCTTAGAATTTTGAGATAAGTAAGTAATTATTTTGAAAGATATTACTATAAGTCATTATTTTAAGATATTATTAGAATTTCTTTTTGTGATAAGTAAATCATTTTGAAAAAGTTTTTAGATATTAACTATTTTGAGAAAGATTGTAATTAAAATGACTTCCAGGACCTTTTTTTTTTATTATACTGGCAGAAATGGGATTCCATAGTATATTAATCCTGTGATATACATTTATCCCAGATTTTGCTCAGGTAGAATGTGACAAAAAGGAGTCAATTTATATTTCAAATATTTTCATTATCTCTTCAGCAGTCTCTTGACAACATAAAATATTAAAGGGACAAGACCAGAAAATATAGTCATCCATTTTTATTACTAAACTGCCACCAGTTTGTTTTGTCCCTCAGACCCCCTTGAGCCACAAAACATTGTGTCATGTTCATCCAACATAATTCTCAGTCTCATATTTTAATGAGCAGCTCACTTAGTATCACACTTGTTTTTGTTTTTCCAGTTGAACACCTGAAAACCACGCTGTCATCCAAGGCCTGTTCTCCACCGAGTCACAGCCCAGACTCTGACACAGACTCTGTGTTTCCTGTCAGCCCTGCTACACTTGTAGAGTCCCCCTCTGACTCTGAGGCCTCACCTGAAAACCCAGAAGCCAGTGAGGGAAGTTGGACCGAGGTCCTCCCAACTCTCTTGCAAAAAACAGACGTGAATGACATCGACTTCAAGGTACAGCACAGTTTCTGTTATATAAAATGTATCGAGCGCCCAGTGATTCTTGTATGACCTCATGATATAAATAAAGATTGTGAATTTAATAGGTGTTTTTCAGTTAAATATTGATGCAGCAATATGATGTAATGTGTTTCCCATTACTGTGCTTGTGATGGTGGAGGCATGGTGGTACTGCAGAGGTATTATGGGTCATTATAGCCTCTTACAGCCTGCATCTGAACCTCACCGCTTTCCATTTCTTCACAGATGTGTGGCTCAAAATTGCCAACAGTTGTTTTAATAATTCAGTACAGTCTATTAGAATTACATTTCAGTCTTAATGTGATGAATCATTGATAAGCTCATAATAAAGGAAGAAGTCCATTTGGTTCCCAAAGGTATTGCACTATTAAAAATGGATATGGAGACTTATTCCAATTACCGTGCCACAGTTATGCTATCGTTTGCAGCTTTTTGTGACCTGTGAGGTAAATGACTCTGATAAAAGGGAATCATTTCATTATAGACTGCCGTGTGTTAATTCAAACCTCAACTGTGTGGTTGCAACCTCAGGGGGGCGCAAATGTTGCACGAATGCATTTATGTGTTATGGCTATCCATTGGCTTGACATGAGAGGACTTCTTCCTGAGTAGATTGTAGAAGTATAACTCTGTATTTAGCAGAAAAATGTGGCATTTAAAATCCTCAAATTCATGCATGAAAAACACAGCATGTTAATCTTCATGTTGTGTGTGGTTTTGTCCTTTAACAGGTCGCTCAAAGTGTCCAAAGCCTGACTCAGTTACTCTACAGTCTGCAGGTGAGTGCATTTCTCAGTGTGCAACCACCAGCTACTTTTTCTCCTGCGCACAGCCCTCATCTATATTATTATCCAATCAGCAACTTAGTATCTCCTCTGTTCACACTGAGAACATCTACATGCTAGTGTCATGCTCGGCCAAGATAAAAGCTTTAAAATGCCTGCACACTCCAGCTTCAGGAAACAGAGAACTAACACTGCGCTGAGCTGTTTGAAGCCAAAGGGAGCGATCTACAGGAGTGAGAATCCTACTGATTGTTTTTCTGCTGAAAGACATACTAGTCTTTTGTTTCCCTACACACACACACACACACACACACACTGCTGTTTGGTATAAAATGTAAATTTGTGCAGAGAGAGCATGTGTGTATTTGCATGAGGGGATGTGTGTGCATACTCTTGCCCATCTGTGTGAGCTTGAGGTTTTGATTTCAATGCTATTTTCATATTCAAAGTTCCTGTGTATCCTGTCTTACATATGAACCTGAAAACCGCAGCTCTACCAGTGGCGGTGGGATCATTTCACCATGTTAAGAGATTCTGTTGCCTGAGCACATAAAAAGTCAGGGCACCCAGTAGAGCCCGATCATCATGTCCATCACATTTTGCCATTCAAATCACCTCAACAGTCACCTGTTGTGAAGATGCACATTTGGTTAAAGTGGTGGTTGGGCCATCTCTGTGTCTTTCCATGTGTGCCAGGCCGCCGTGACCATCCAGGACACCTGCTATGAGGTCCAGAGTCTCCTCCTGCAGGAGACTGGGCGCCCTTCCCCTCGCACCCAACGTCCGCACCTTCCAAGTATCCGGGGCAACACCCTTCAGGAACAGGAGAAGCAGCGTAACCTGGAGAAGCGGAAGGAGGAGGTTGCGGCGGCTCAGCGGCTCCAGGAGCAACTGCGCCAAGAGAGGGAGCGCTGGGAGAGAGAGTGCCAAGCCAGGGAGAGCCAGCAGGGGGAGCAGGAGAGTAGGCTGGAGGAGAGGGAGAGGCAGTGCCACCTGGAGATGGAGAGGCTGAGGCACGAGAGGGAAGAGCTGGATGAGCAGCTGGAGGAGTACCAGCAGAGCCTGGAGCGGCTCAGGGAGGGCCAGAGGAGTGTGGAGAGGGAGCGTGAGCGTCTGGAGAACCAGCAAAAGATGCTCCAGACCTGGAGACACAGCCGGCAGAGGAGTCTGCCCACTGTGATTCCTCACATGGTCATCCCTCTAGATGGGCAGCAGGTAGGGGGGGGCCGACACACAACTGACAACTGTTTCTTCAGTCTATGAATTTTAAAATAACCTCTGATGTTTAATCTGAGGCATTTATTGAGGGCTCAGTTCTGCTCCCGACCAAAGCTCTTGACCCTGACACGAGTGTGAGGTAGATATGCAATGTTTATGGAGTATTTCTTGGCTGAAGTCATTAATGAGAAGCTTTTCTCAGACAGCTATCAGCCTGAGTTACGCTGGTTCACTCATTTACGCACAGCAGCTCAATCCCATCTTGATATACGACCTGCGATAATGAGAGCAATTTCAGCATCATTTGTCTTAGTGCTCTGGCAGCTCCACTCACCAATAAACATCTTAATGATTGATGATAATTAAACCGCTGCAAATAAAAGCTCCGACAAAATAATTAAAACCAGAGGCACGCAGCCCGAGAAACCAATCAATCGTGTCCGAAAGGACTTAAATTATCGACACTTTGTTTGAAAAGCACTACAGTGAAATGTCCCCCGCAGCTGGAAGGCATGGAGGATAAAGGGTGCACTGTTCTCCGTGCCCTTTAAGACTCAATGTACCTCACACAGACAAGCAGCAGTGGTGAAAGTAATATAGCACATACAACTATGCGAGCCTCTGCTGCTTTGTGCTGCTCAGTTCAGCAGGTGTGACTGTTGAAAAGGAGCACACAGAGAGCACTCGAATGGACGGACAAATGAGCAGACTCGTGTTACAATATTCCCTCGCTCCCTCATTAATTTACACGCCACCGTGGGCTTTTTACAGGCTGGATGCGATGAGGCTCTCCTGGCTTTTTGCGGACTTATTTATTTCCATTCATCTATTTTTGTCAGTGTGGAGGCTGCATTAACAGCAATGGTCTGACAAAGGCGTGCGGAGGCAGTGGAGGTCCTAATGTTCCCCTGCTAATGTTTTAGCCAGAGGCAGCAGTTCACAGGGTCAGAGACAGATCGAATGACTCTCGCACACACATACACAGAGGCACACACGCACACCCACTCTCAGGTCGTTTCTAATTAGCTGTGCTGCCTGCGCTCCACAGAGGAAAGAAGGCCATGTTGATGTGAAGATAGGACAAGAGAGAGGGGGGCGTTAGGAGAGGACAGGGGGAGGGAGCTGCAGCAGTGACACTTTTTAACCATACATTAAAGGGTCAGTTCACCCAAATGACTCAACATTTTTTTCACTTAAAGGTTAGTGTATAAGATTTAAGAGGATATTTTGGCAGAAATGGAATATAATAGAATAAGTATGTTTTCTTTAGTGTATAATCACCCGAAACTAAGAATTGTTGTGTTTTAGTTATCTCAGAATGAATCGTCTATATTTACATAGAGAGCTGGTGCTTGTCCATAAAGTCTGCTATGTTGCACCCCCATGTTTCTACAGTAGCCCAGAACTGACAAAAAAACAAACACTGACTCTATATAGGGCCATTCGCGTTTATGTACCGGCCACAGTGATTAGCAGCCCCTCTGCGACAAGTAGCATTAGAAACATTGAGTTTTTAACGTGAAACTGCTTCACTCAGTGTTTTAACTGGTTTAAATCACGGGGACCATTTGTTTTGGAGAGGAAGAGACCTCTTGCAGATCATTTGGCTTACGATTAAAAGCTCCTTACGTCTGGATCTTAGATTATCAGAGAAAAAAAGTGAGCACACAATCAGCAGGTGCTGGGCTAGCATCCCATGTTCAAAGAGCCGAAGAGCGTCGGTGAAACAGTTTTTATTGTAAAAGTGCTTTAATCAGTGTTTTTACTGGTTTAAGTCACCTGGTCAGTTCGTTTTGAAGAGGAGGAGACCTCTGTGGATAATTTGGCTCCTAGTCAAAACCACCTGAACGATGAACACAAAAGGAATTCTAAGCAGGAAGAGTTTCAGCTGGTTGCAATCTGCAGTCCTCATCACTAGATTATACATACTGTTCCTTTAACTCTAGTTGTCCATTCACTTCTATTGTATTGGTTTGGAGGCTGAAATCTCACAGAGCAACATGTCAAAACCTGGACAAATAAAACCAGAAGTTTCTATATATATTTTATCTATCTATTATACTAGATACCACTAGAGGTAAATGAGAAAATAGATTCGGGATCTTTTTAAGTACAGTCTTAGACAAAACTGATCTAAAACCCTACTAAAAGAGCACTTTCATAAATTTTGCACGGTAATTTGAATTTTCTGATTCATCATGTAAATGCAATCATTCATCAACGTCCATTCTTGCTTTAGAAGTTGTCATCTGGTCTTCATCTTAATGTCTGCTCACAGTGGTCTTTATGTCTGTCTCAGCTCTGTAGCTGAACATGACCATGATCTTTGCTCTCTCCCTCCCCCAGGACTCGACATCTAGTCAGTCCAGAGAGCACGCCGGCAATGGCTCTATGTTTGTAAACGAGGCTGCGTTCGCCAGCACCAGCGTCAACAACCGCCACGTCCACCACAAAAGAAATGACCCCAGCGCGCACAATTGTCTGAACACCCTGCTGGCAAGATCCAACAGCAGACAGCCCCCCATCGCTAAGACTCCTCACGGTCCACACTCAGACTCCCAGGGGTGGATGATGGGGACAGAGTACCTCTACAGCCCTGCAGGAAGGCTTGAGCTGCAGCATACACCTAATGGTAAGAAGTTAATGTTTTATCATCTGTGATAGGGGGGAGTTTAAAACAAAACACAAATTGAATGGCTTTTGTTGTCGCCTGGCACTGTTATACATGCTGTGTGGGATGATTTTATCTATGTGTTGGCCTGTCTGGTGTGTGGACTCAGGCTCTATCTAACAATTATTCTCATTATCACTTTTGCTAATTATTTTCTCGCTAAGTTGCTCTGTTACAATTTGTTGAAGCCCAAGGTGACATCCTTAGACACCTAGTTTCCACCAGTACTGTCAGTTCCACCAATACTGTCTCCCAAACTTTTCAGCTTTTGACTCCTTAAATAAAGCAGCGTCCCCCTGCACACACAGGTGTAACATTAAGCTTTGACCTCTGAATTTTTATCTGATCTGAATACATTTTTTAGGCACCAAGAGATGAAACTATAAGATACTTCACACAAGAGCAAAGATTGAAAGTAAGAATTTAAATCCGTGTAGCAGAAGTTTTCTATTACAGTAAGTATTTTGGGAACCCCTTAAATTTAAAGGGGCAGTTCATCCCAAGATTCAAAAATATATATTTCTCCTCTTACCTGTAGTGCTATTAATCACTCTATATTGTTTTGGTGTGAGTTGCCAAGTGTTGCAGATATTGGCCGTAGAGATGTTCCAATATAATGGAACTACATGGCACTCAGAGTGCCAAAAATACCTTTGAAAAAATCAACAGCAATCTCTTTGTGCAGATATAATTTGGTATAAAGAAAATAGTTCCTACATGAAACTGCTCACAACAAGGTCTGTGGATTATCTTGAGTAACCGAGTCATGATTTGTAGAAAAAGACATTGCTGTTGAGTTTTTCAAATGTGTTTTGGCGCGTTGAGCACCACAAGCTGAGTGCCATCTAGTTCCATTATACTGGAAAGAAGGCAGACATCTACACAACCAATATTTCCAACACTTGAAAACTCATACCTGAACTGTCCCTGAAACCTGTGAGCCATTTAAGCGGTCTCCACCCTGGGTTTGGAAACACTGAAATAAATACAAAAATGCAAATCATCACATAAGAGGTTGGAACTAGAAAAAAATACATAAACGATAATCAAGATTATTAATTATTAATCAGTTATTTAACTAATTGTTGTAGCTCTAGTGACACAATCACTTTTAGAGCAACAAAAAACTAAATGAGCAGATTAGATTTTTGAGCATATAACTATAATAATTTCCATATTAATGAGGAAAAACTGATTTTTTTTTCTCCAAGCTTTTTTTTTTGCACTCAGGTACCATCTGTGAATGGACATAATGTAGTGTGGAAAAATGCACTAATGAATGCATCAAGTATCTCAATTACTAATTTCCATTAGTGGTTATGTTTAATATCCTGTATCATAGTGCTAATGGTGTGACATTACACAGCTCAAGTGCCTCTCGTAGTGGACAGCAGTGAACGGTTATCACAGTGTCTCTGCTGCTTAGCTTAAATGAGAAATCTGCTTCCTGTGAGAATGTAAACAATCCCTGCGCCTGCACTGGTTTCACCCATGTACGTGAGAGTGTACTGTACACACACACACACACACACACACACACACACACACACACTCACTCTCTGCTCTCAAGGCTCTATCCCTGGTGAGGCCTTGTCTGTCCTTCCTCTCAGTTAATCAGTGTCTCCTGACAAAGAAACCACCCCCACCTTTCCACCACTACCACCTCCACCTGCACCAGCAGCGAGCCGGGGGCCCCTGCCTGCCAAAGGAAAAGAAAAATCAATGGTTCCTCTATCCATCGACTGGCAGGACAGACAACAGCATGTGAATCACAGTTCACAGGCGATGGCGGACTGATTGGGACATCGATCTAAAAAAATCTTCACAAAACTCATTACAGCATGACTTGTCATCGCATCAGGAGAAGGGGGGAGGTGCGAGGTGGGGAGTGAGAAATGCAGACACATATTAATCTGGGTTTCACTCGCGAGGTGTCAGCTACATTCTCACGCTTGCCCGTCCCCATTCCTAATCCATTCAGCTCATTCTAATATTCGCAGCAGGCGGGGAGAAAATTACAGGTTACACGTGTCTTGTTCCTCAGCCATGTAAAAAATGGGGTCAGCGTTAAGTGCAGCTGATGCAGAGTTTCTGGTATTGTTTACCAGCCACAGCAGGCGGCACAGTCACGTCCTCATTGATCAGCTTATTAACCTTTCCTCGTTATTGAGCGCACACAAGCCCCGGTGAAGCCTGAGTCACTTGTTAACAAGCCTGGGGTGTATACTTGGCTGCAGTCCGCAACGCAGGGTGCATTCCACCTACCCACAATGCATTCCTCAGTGGATCCCATGAGGGCCTGCCATGAAATACTCGTAGACTCTGAATAATATTGCCCAATCATCACATAATTCCCCATTAGATTTATATTTCTGTAAGGAGTCATTTTCGTATTTTTATGCGCTATCTCAGATTTGAATACCTCCTCATAGTGGATCACATGCTGCCTGGTCTGTGGAGGAACCTGGTATCTCTTCATCTTGTGAAAAGAAAAGGAATCTCTTTTAAATGCAAATTACCCATTGTGTCATCAGTCACACAGAAACACGATCTCACTTCTCATCCTCACCTGAGCATTTCTTCTCATGCACACACACACAAATACACACCCTTTCTCACTCAGTGGATTTCCATAATTTGTTCCCACACAATGTAATCTCGGGGAACCAGTTGGATGGAATGACGAGCCGAGTCAGGTTTTTGTTGCTCACCTTTTCATACAGAAGATGAGAGCATCATGAGTTGGACAAAGATGAAAAGAGAGATGAAACTGGTCCTCTTTACAGTAAGTAGATTAATTCACACCTTGTATCATATGCAGCATAGTGCACAAACCTGATTGGTGACTTTCTAACCAAGTATCGGGCTGCACAGTAATGGTTAAATAAATGATACTAATGATTCTTAAGATTAATATTGAGATCACAACTAGGACATAAAATAAAATAGTCCCACCAGAGCAGAAAATTCTCTTTGTCTTGACTAATAGACAATAAACAGAGTAAAAACAATAAAAATGAAATAAATAATGAGCAATACACACACACCCCACCCCCACAGACACTGTTCACTGACAGTGCAAGCATGGAGGGTGAAGAAAGTGTTAGCTTGGAAGATCTGAGCTTGGAGGTGAAGATTAAATCTTTATTTAACAAGGTGAAGACACACTGAGAGTCACTATAATAAAATACTACATTTGTTTGTACTGTACAAACACAGTTATAGATCCATAGTCAGCGTACCACCTGCAGTAGTTGGCAGCTTGCTCCCAGTTTGGAGAGGTACACAGCAGTACCAGGGCACAGGAGCTATGTGATGTAGCCTACTGCTGTGGGCGCCAAATAAGTTTGGTTCTGAAAGTCGCACAATAACACAAACAAACTTACTTAATTATCAAATGTTCTGTAGCACATGGTCTAAAGTGTGTGGTCTAAGTGCATTTAGGGCGTGTCCAAATCCACTTTTGCTAGTGAAATAGTGCGTAAGCTGGTCGCAAAGTAAACCGCAAAAGGCAAAGAAGTTGTATTTAGTTAATTATTAATCATAAGTGTGTTTTGGGTGTAACATATAAATTCAACTAATCAGAGTGTCATCTCCCATTCCTTGTAAAATTCAGGTGGACCTGCACATGGCACACTGCTATTGCCATGGCAGATTCAGCAAATTGGAGAAGCAAGTGATTTTATAACAATACAGTCAGAGCAATAATGTCACTGCAGCAAATATCATGGGACATTCAAGCATCAAAACTAAGAACTGTAGTTATAAACGTGACAGAGGAAACACAACTGAACTTTAAGCTTCTGAAATAATCAATGCACAATGTTAATGTGCACATTGTCTCTCTTAATGGAGGTTGGAAAGCAGCTCTGCGGCTCTGCTCTGCTCTCTGCTAAGTTCACATTTTAGAGAATGTAATTAATATTTTCTATATTTATAATGTATAATTTCACCCACCTGCAACCTCTTTGTGGGCCCGTCTTTCTATCTGTATAATGTGCTCTTTAAAAAGCAGGAAAATACTGCGGCATTCTGACTTTAGACTCGTTTTGTTGTTGGTTAATGGAGCAGTCGCTTTCTGCTTCCTCAGAATAGCAATACGCCAACAATGCACCTGATCACACCTCATTTTAAGACCTACACACCCTTGCGTGCACAGATGTGCGCAAGTGCATTTTCCACTTAGGCAGCATGAGCACTGGCCATAAAAATGACAACTGCATCATTCTGAAACTAGCAATAGCAGTTGCACTGCGCTGTGCGCCGCTTTGCACCCGGTGTAAGATAGGGTCCCTTGTGTTCTGCAGGTTAAAATTACTATTTCTTTAAAAGGAGTTTGGTGGCTGTGGACAAGAGCAGCAGAAAAAAAAAATATTCCAGCCTCCTAAAAAAAGGAACACCTAAAAAAATTAGATCAGTTAACCCGAACACTATATTTAGATTATTTTTATGCTTCAATTTGTCATCATACACCCCTTTGTGGTGGGGAACTGAAGCTGATATATCACCCTCTTCAAAGCCACAAGACTCCATTGACAGAAATATTAATTTCACCTTAGAGGGCTGCCTTGATTGTTTAGTTTGTTTGTGTTATTGTGTGACTTCGGAATTGAACTAACGTGTGTCCAGAGCAGTATATGGGATCATGTAGCAACATCATCATGCAGAAACCTGTGTCAGGTCACATGGGGGAAAAGGTTTTAGAAGGGCTTGGGAAAAAAAACATTTTGATGCTAAAAAGATACATTCTTCAAACAAAAATTTGGAAAGCTACAAAATTATATAAAAACATTTAAAAAAAATTGAGCTGCCCTTAAGTGAATTAAAGGATGTGGATATGTTAGTGCTGTTTGTAAATTATATTGGCACAAAGAATCCACAGCCCTAACCCTTGTTTATCTTTTTATTTACCAGATTTGTTCTATAGCATTGTCCACAAAGCTTTAACCCAGATTTAGAGTGGTGGTGTTTTCCTGTATACAGCAGTATTTTACATAGCATCTAATTATGTTGGCAAACCACAATTTTGCATGTTGTTCTAACGACCCTTGCCAACTGTTCTGTTTGCCACAGTTGGGTTACCATACTGGACTGAGATTTTCTCCAAACGCTCTGCTGCTCTTGACAAATTCATTTATTTTTTTCTGTTGCTTTCTTTAAATAGCAGGCATTTGCTGTCTGTGTTGTCACATATTAATAATGCTAAAATGGTATCACTTCATGGATAAAGATTGAGTGGTTTTATCATCTGGCTGCACACTGATGTCTCATCTATCAGGGGCCGGGCCTATATGGTGGCTAACAGAGCTACTCTAACAGACTTTTATATAATTAATCAAACAGACACTTTCCTACAGGGACACAATGAGGCAATTTATAGTTCACGCCATCTGTTACCATGACAGCACACCTGCCCTAATGCTAGACAGCACCCACCATGCACACAAATGTAAGAGAACACACATTCTCAACTAGATGTCACCCGCAAAAACACATTCTCTTTCAGATCACTTTTAATTGAATAATAATGCGATTGATCCTTGAAGGGAGCGGCCCTGAAGCTGGGGATGCAATATGTTGCTCAAAAACACTTCAGCAGGCCACATGTCTGCCGACTCAAGGGTTTAAATCCTTGTTATCCGGTTCAAGGCTGCTCTGGCTAACATATGTGCTCATCCTTCCTCGTTTCCGGCCCCTGTTTCCTCATCTCTTCTTGTTAACCGTCAAGAGTGAGGAGGCGGGTGTCATCGAATCCCGACCATGACGATGGATTATGTTGACGAAGATAATGATAAAAGTGACACCTCTAAGTAGAAGGGGGGATGATGGATAGCTTGAAAGTCTTTTTGTTTTCATTCCCTGTGCCATGCACCGGTGCAGGAAGGAGCAGCAGTCTGAGCTGCAGCAGCTGTGGTTGATCTATGTGCATTTAGTGATTAGATGAGTGGGCTGAACAATTAGACTGAGCTCATTAAACAAGTGGCTACATGTCCCATCCTGGTGATTATGTATGAGTGGTTAGTGAATGATTGATTTGACCAGAGTATTATCAGTATCAGTAACTGCATTTCTTCTACACAGAGTGTGATAGTAGTGTTTTTTCTTGTGCTCACTCAGATCTCAACAGTCACAGCTATATCGGGGAGACCTGGTCGTCAACAGCAAGCGGAGCTGACCCGTATCCAGCACTCCCTCATCCTGGTGACCCTCAGTTGGACCTCAGTGCACTTGTTTCCTTGGAGACTGACAGCGGCGGGGAGGAGGGCAGTGAGGAAACCATTGTGTATCTCTGAATATTGATACATTTCAGACTGAACAGCCAACCCAGCACTTGGAAAAGGATAAAGACATTCATGAAGCATCAGGATCGGCTCCAGGGTGGCTTCAGAAAAACATTTCTCTCATGCTTTTTTTTTTTTTTTTTCTTATTTGAAAGATTATTTTTGTGGTCTTTTTCAAAGTTACTGGATACACAGAGAGAGAAACAGATAAATAAGGTTGTTTCAATCTCACATGTGTCATGCACCTTAGCTCGGGGCACCACTGGGTGTTCAATGTCTCTTTATTTTCAATTTTTTTTGTGTGTGTCTTTATTGACTGGGTCCCTGCAGCTACACTTTTTCCCCCCTTCTCTGCCTCTTACTGTCCCTCCCTCACTGCCTTGCTTTCTCAGGTCTTTCTCACATCTTGTCCCTCGAGCACCATATTTATTAAATTTACTACAAAAGAGGAGAAAAAGCGTATACCAAATATAAGCAAAACATCAGGCTGCATCTCTCTAGCGGGTGATTGTCTTGCCATGGAGCAAACTGCCCCTCTTTCATTTATCAGACAGGCTTTGTTTATGTTCAAGTCGTGCATAACGTGAGGCACAGAACATTAGGATTGAGAGATGAGGTGCGACAACGTCAGTCCCACGTTTTCCAGACCCACGCTGCCTGTATCATTTATTTTGTTTTATCTGAAGCATGTTTTTCTTGTTTAGAGAAATAACCGCAGGTGTGGTTTTAAGAGAGATGCTGCAGCTGTGCTAATATGTCAGTTTTATCAGAGTGTAGACATTCAGCTGCAAAAGCCAGAGAAAGCAAGTTTTGAACCATTCCTGTAAAAGTGAAAGATTTTTTTGTGGTGCAGGAGGATGGACAGAAGGAAAACATGTTGGGTCAAACCATTTTAAGCACTGATATTATTGTACAACAGTTCTCATCACAAATTTCTGACAACATTTGTCACTTTTAGCCACACTAGTAGCATGGCTCTAGGGACAGTAATGCTGCTCGGTCAATCCACCACTTTGGTCCATAGCCATGAAATTTTGTGCAGACATTCATGGTCCCCAGATGACAAATGATTTTAGTGATTCCATTAATTTTCCTATAGCGCCAGGATATGTTTGCATTTGTGGGTTTTAATGAAATGTTTCACCACCTACTGGATGGATTGTCATGACGTCTGGTCAGTCATGTCTCCCTCAGGATAAATTATAATACTTTAGTGATCTGAAAACTTCCATTTAGCGCCATCTTCAGGACAAACTTTTAACTTGTTCAATAAGTTGGTTCATTATCAAATACCAAAAAAAAAAGATTACATTCCCATTAGGTCTGTAAGGTATCAAGGTAGGAGCAAAGTACTACAGAAATTTCTCCAGTCAAACGATACCTGCATCCGATCAGCAAACATTCTGTTACTGCCATCTCCGTAGCCGCTCTCATGCCCGGCAAACATTCAGTTTAACATCTGACCCCATTAGCACATGCTAACACAGCAGCAGTGGCTTACAACCAACAGGGAGCCGTTAAACTGTCCCAACAAACACACGCTGACATTGAAACGGCTCAACACTGTTGTTAAATCGGTTAATGGCATGAGGTAACATTAGCCGTGTGATGCTAACAGTTAGCCCTGTCACTGTAGATGTTTAGCTGGTGACTGACATGGCAGCTACAACCAACAAGCTTTAACAGTCTGTGGTGTGGGGAGTTGGCAGTTCAGCGTGCCCAGATGCCAAAAAAAACATTCAAAAGTATGGCCGTACTACACATTATGGGAATTAAATGAAGTACTCTATTGTTATTGGTATCACTTTGGGGGTACTGGTATTGGCAATGGTCACAAAATGTTTTAAACAATACCTAGTTCTAATTCCCATCAGCCTCAGCTCTACTTTGTGTTAAGTGCTAATGAGCAAGTGTCAGCATGCTAAAACCCTAAAGTAACATGGTGATCATGGTAAATCACACCTGCTACACATTAGCATGATTGCATTGCAATTGCATGTTAGCATACTGACTTTAGCATTTAGCTCAAAGCACCACTGTGCCTTAGTCTGCCTCACACCTGAACCCTTAGTGTGTTGTTATTTTTTATTTCATTTATGTCATTACTTTATAAAAAACCCATCTTTACTTTATACAGGCTGTAAAGAATGGAAGATGTTGACCTAAAGTTATCACTGCAAGCACCCAGAACAATAAGTTTCCTTATTGATACTGTCATGCGGAATGCTAAACTATTACACTTGAATATTCATGTAGTATATTTACATATTATCTCTCATGGGCATTTTTATGTGTAAAGAGCTCCCTGTGCCAATGCTTTAGGTGTCTCTTGATGTTTTTGTTTTACAGACGCTATAAAAATTGAATTGCTTTGATTACTGTTGTAGTTTCTCAATGGGACAATAAGGCAGAGGCAGTATTTTGATGTGATTTTAGCACCATGTATATATGTTTGTGCTTTTATTTATTTATTACAGTACAAAGGAGTTTTACAGCGCTTTGTGAAGGGTTGTGTTGTATATAGTAGTGTACCTGTGTGAACAGATGTGTTCGTTCGTTCGTGTTGTGTGCTCAGACATGGCCGTATTGATAAAACAACTTTTATTCAACTTGAAACAGTGCTTTGTTGTTCTTTAGGCTATGAAATGGGGCTCGGCAAAGGTGTCAGTACAATAACAGCAAACTGGTTGAAACACAAACTCAGTGCTCAGCTTGGGTACAAGCATCATTTCAGTTTTATGGCCCTGGTTTGAATGTGAGGCGTCTCCAACAGTGTCAGCAGATGTGTTCAGTTGCCAGCAGTGGCAGGTGGCAGACCAGGTGCATGAATGTCAATGATTTCCTGTTTGACTGCACCTCTGAATTACAATCACAAAAACCACATCAGTATCAGATGAACGCGATATTGTTTTGCTGCGGCAAACAACCTCGTCAAGAAACTTCCGGGTCATTAAATTCTTTGAACAGACTTTTAAAGGTAGAAAGATCCCCACCAATCACAGCCTGTCTCTGAAGTAAAGGCTAAAAATAAAAACAGAGATGCCTCAATTTGAGCTTCCTGGCTTTCCCTGACAGCAGTAATGTATTTCATATGCTCCACCTGTGTCTCTTCCTCTTTCCCTTTTAGACAGAAGAGCAGATGCCTGAGATCAACAGGGTCCCTGCTGTACCCCCAGTATGCGCCTTATTATTTCACAGAGGTGCTGCATACAAACGCCCACTCCATTCCTTGTCAGCCTCAATCTTCAATCCTTTTTCTGGCTTATTAAATGTGGCTTTATGAAATGTCATTTGCAGGAAAATCCAGTGTAATTCATGCTTTAATTACCATGTATGATTTTAATAATTAAACTCAAACTTAATAGAGCTTATTCTTATTTAATCAGCCCCTCCTAACTTCGGTCTAATGAATGAGTCTACAGCAAGTGATGAGATCAGAGGTGGATAAGCCCTTCTAATGAACTAGTACATGCAGATGTCATTTGTATAGTATGCATCTTTTGCATATCTTTCTCTTTGATTTAAATCTTCCTGTGAATCATCCACAGGCCACCAAAATGTTGCTCCAACTGTTTCTGATAACTTTGAATAACTACTGTTTATTATCGGGATTTATATTTGACTTTATATTTCTTGAAGATTATAATATTGATAACTCCAAATGCAGTAGTATTTGAAGCAGCTCAACATGAATCTATTCAAATACTTTTTACAGGACAGAGACCATGTTGTGTAGTGTGTATATGAGTTGACAAAATATGGAGTCCCCCAGGGTTCTGTTTTGGAGCATCTTCAGTTCATTGCACTCCTCAACTAAATCGCCAGAAAACAGGTAGCTTAAATGTTTCTGCAAACCATGAATATGTTACATTTGCATGTTATTATGTAGCAGATACACTGAAATTTTATATTTCAACAATGCTGTGACAAATGTGTGGTTAGGTTTAGACACAAAAACAACTTGATTATGATTGGGAAAAGATCATGTTTTGGTTTAAAATACCCAGTTTAGGGCCACAAGCCCTGCTAGAGAAGCAGCGATAAAACACCAAATTTGGGGGCTAAAAAGCTGCAGGAAACACAGTCACAGGTAAAAAAAAAAAGTAGGTTTGGGAGCTGAAAAGCTGCTGGAAAAAACAGCCACAGGTTCTGAAAAAACACGTTTGGTGCCTCAAAAGCTGTTGGAAATAAAGCAATGACTCACTTAATCACAACCTGTTTGTGTTTGTTGGTCTTAAACAGTGGTCTGAAGCTTGGTAGGCACCATGCTTAGGTGACATACCATTCACTATCCCCTCAGAAAAGTACAGTGCCAACATTTTCTTATTGTTCTCCTTTTTTAACTCAAATTATGTAAAACACTGAGTCTGTGACATACTACTGCAATGATTTACCAGGTCTTTATGGTAATCTGACATCTCCAGCTCATTCAGATTGCTGCTGATATATTACTTACCAAGTAACAGGGCCCTCACACCCACAGTCTGTTTAATTTGATTATGTGAAATATGTAAACAAACATAGTGGATCTTCTAGGATGCTATTCATACTTTCTTGGTTGTTTGCTCATGAGTTTTTCTCCTGCTTTGTATCTTGAAGTATTGATTTTAAAATGCTCAAGGTCCAAAATATCTCTCTGATCTGCTTTGGTTTTACCAACCCCCCAGGCCTCTCAGGTCATCTGGGACTGCTTTGCTTCCAAGGGTTAAAACAAAATATAGTAAAGCAGTTGTTAGTTTCTCTGCACCACAAATCTGGAACAAACCTCTGGGAGATCTGAGGTCTGCTTTAAATCTAACCTCTTCTAAGGCAGTGTTTTTCTTTTTACCGCTAAGTTTGTGGCTGTTTTTGCTCTGTAACCACACTATAACTTTAATTCCTTTAGCTAATATTCTATTTATATTTTATACATACCTAATTTAATTAAGTCTTAAAGCGACAGTTCATCCTCAAATAAATAATTCATATTTTTCCTCTTACCTGTAGTGCTTTATATCAATCTAGATTGTCCCCTGGATTCTCTGTAGAGATGTCTGCATTCTCTCCAATGTAATGCAACTGGAAAGCACTCAGCATTTTTTGTGTGTGTGCTTTGAGCGCCACATGCCAAGTGTCAGCTAGTTTTAGAGAACTATTTGAGAAAAGACAGACATCTCTGCGGCCAATACCTTCAACACTCAGCGACTCACACCAAAACAATCTGAACTGATAAACAGCACCACAGGTAAGGGCTCATTCATACTCCCTCCATGTACAAAAAGAGATATCTCTGTTTCAAATGTTGTAAACATCAGTGCCCTCATATTTTCATGTGTCCTTTATGATGGCATAGATACAGTCAATACCTGGTATTAAAGGCCAAAGTCAAAAGTTCGCACAACAACAAATGTGGTGATGGTGGAGGAGGTTGTAATGTTGTACCTTTTCACAGAGACAGCGTTGTAGATGATGGTGGTCTGTGAGGCCATTAAATACATCATGACATGTGAACAGATAATTATTTTCACTACATTACTGATTCATTGCAGCATTTTTTAAATGTCTTCATCATCTCCCATGTTCATATCTTGCTTGAACTACACTGCACTGCCCCTGTGATTTCAGATGGTACTGCTCTGTTTTTTCCGTATTCGCTTTCAGAAAGCGTGCAAAAATACAAATGAGAGGACTGCAGAATGCTAACAGAAGGCTCCATCTGTGTCCGTAATGTAACATTGAGCATCAATGAGCCCTATAGGGAAATACTGTAAGTACTTTTGAATTAGGAGCGAACTGTCTCTTTAATCAATTTTATTTGGCTTTTCATTGTCTTTTTTTTTTTTAAGTTTAAACATTAAAACAACAACAACAGTTTAAGCATTAGCATTCCTTATATAAGCACTTTTTGTTGCCTCAACACTGAAGAGCATGCAAAGATGTGGTCAGACCTGTGTTGGATCCTCTTTGTACTTCTGGTAGCCCTTCAGGGATCCATTATGCTCATCATCTTTGTTGTTAAAGTTATGATTACACTCTCCTCCATTATCTTTTTCTGAGCCCCTACCTTATCAGTTTTGACACACTGTGTATGCCTCAGTGAGCTGGCGCTTTTAGCATTATTTTATGGACCCTATAGCCAAACCTGTGGAAGGCACCAAACAGCTGTTTGCGGAGGGAATGTTTGTGTTTGTGTGCGACAGAGAGAGATAGCAGAGAGGTGTGGAAAGAGACGGGAGGAGCACATTTTACTGTAACACAAGCTTTTTGTATGCATGTCATGGAGATGTGTCTCTGTATATACGCTCTGTTTTGTGTTTGACAGGTGTTATTGCCCATACAGGCGCTACTATGATGTCACTGCCAATCAACCATCTGGGTATTTCCACTTCAGCTGACAGTCTCTGATATCATACCCGGATAACATTACAAAGGCTTTTCATTTTCTGATAACTCCACAAAGTTACAGTCTCTCCCCAGTCTGTCAACAGTGGAGCCAAAAGTGTAAATATCCTTAAGTGAATTCTTCTTTCAGTAACTCACACACGCCCCACATTACTACTGAAATAGTGTTAAATACTTAATAGCTCTTTAGTGTTTCACTACCTCAGCTTTTGTCTGTGTGAATTCAATAATCACAAGTAGTTCCTTCCTCATTATACATTAAAAAAACAGTACTGTACAGTATGTGGCCTCTGTCTGTCTCCCCTAGTTGTTTTTTAATGACCCCTGTGGAGGGTAACCAATAACGCCAAAGGAAAACCGATAAAGGGGAAATATATTATTGCTGAGTCATCTGCCAGGGTGAAACACACATTGCTAAAGCTTTTCCCAAGGGGAAATGTAATGATTTCTGTAGGCGCACAGAATAAACCTGCCCGGCCCAAATATAAATAACAGCCATTAAAGCTTATCCCAGAGAGGAATACTTTTATGAGAAACCTGAACAATATACAGCGTATATACGGGTTATTAGATTTCTCTTGGGGTAAAATATAGTGACAGGCTAGACTCAATATATATACAGACTGCTCACAACCGCAGTAGGAGGAGAAAACCTTCGACTGCTCTAATGACTTACTGTAAATTTGTTTGGCTTTCAGTACTCTGTCAGGTTTTCTTCTTTTCTTCTTTTTTTGTGGAACTTAATATTTCAGTGCACATTTAACAATCCTTATAACATGTCAGTGCAGCTGTCGTGGCAAAGAATGCAGGGTTACTTTTGAAGTGACATTTTAAGCGACACATCCCCTGATCTTTACTTTTGACCCTGGATTTAATTGGTCTCACTCATCACGTCCCCTTTCAAGTCACGGCCATCTCCCACGGCGTGTCAGAGCCAAGTGCAATGCTGTTTATCCCCAAATAAATGCTAATTACAACACTTACACCTCAGACAGCTTCAGCGTCTCAACCACGGGTCTGAGCCTCAAAGCAATGAATGGTATGCAGGTCAGATACGGCAGTGTTTTATAACGTCATTGAAGGCTACAGTGGCAAAGCTTACACCATTTCTAGACATCCTTCATTAAGCCTGGGAGAACAAACCTGTAATTTATTTACTGATGAGTTAGTTAAATCCATTTTTGCATTTCCAGTTGGCCCTAAGATTTTATTATGAGCTGGATCCTTCAATGAAATGCCAACAAACTCTGGCTGGATTTCCCTGTTGTCTGAACATCAAGAGGCAAATAAGTGTACGACAGTCTGAAGAGACTAAAAAAAAGATAGTCATCCACAAATGAGCCACAAAAAAAGATTCAAATTAGAGTTTGTTTACCTTGCAATGGTTAACTTGCAAGCCATCCGTGTTTGTTTCCTTTCAGACATTTCCATAATACATAAAGCCAAGCTGGATATATCACAGCTTTAGGAAAAACACATCCATCAGCCAGTCAGAGTTACGACTTGGATGTTGGTTTTATAAGCTGGAAAACGGCAAATTTGTTCCTTCCGTATGACGTGAGCGCAGCATTAATAGGCTTGCCAACATTGTTATTATGGGATTGCTTTGCAAATTTCTAGTAGCCTTGATAAGTCTCCCAGGACATAAAAGTTAACTATCACTGTTACACTGTTTTTTTTCTTTCACATTTTACCAGGACCTCTACTGAACTCCAAGTAAACAGCTTCATACATATATATCATATATTCATCATCTGAGCTGGAGGGTGATGGCAATAAATATCTCAAACATTATCAGAAATACTGACAAAGCACTTATCTGCCACATCTGAGGTACATCTGATTCTGCTTTCCTAGACTGAGGTTGGAGGCGATGGAGTTCTAAGAAGATGATATAATACTACACACATACAGTGTTTTCTCTCACTGTAAACATTATCCCAAAAAACCTCTCTCTTATTTTCTCAAGGTAAAGGAATATTTAAT